TCAACAGATGGCCATCCAGTCCCTGCTTCAAAATCTCTAGAAAAGAAGTCTCCACTAAACTCCAAGGTAGCAGCATATTCTACTGTGGAAGAGCTCTCTCCTAATGTTCAGGTGGAATCACTTCTCCTACAATTTGAATCCATCGCCCCATTGTGTCTTAGGCCCCTTCCACATAGCTGAATAAAATCCCACATTTTCTGCTTTAAATGGGAATATATGGCAGTGTGGACTCAGGGTCCTTCCACACATCTGAATAAAATTGCACATTTTCTGCTTTGAACTGAGATATATGGCAGTGTGGACTCAGATTAACCCAGTTCAAAGCAGATATTGTGGGATTTTCTGCCTTGATATTCTGGGTTATATGGCTCCGTGGAAGGGCATTTAATCTCTAGAGCAGAAGCATACCAGCTATGGGGATAATGGGATTATAATCCAACACATCTGGAAAGCTGTTTTTTTGTCTTCATTACAAAGACCAAAGCTTAGCTACCGTCCATATTTCTGGCTGAAATATACACCACAACATTATTTGTGCCTTACAGTGTGTATTTCTTCCAGCCCTTGTGTAAGAGAAGGGATTGTTTTAAATTGCCTTAATCTTGGGGATGGGTAAAGTGCAGCCTTACACAAAGCCTAGGCTGAATTAAATAAATTGTAGTACAACATCTGGAAGCTACTATTTGTTTAAATCTTAACATATCCAAGTCTTGGAGAGTTTATTGGGTGAAGTTTACTATGGCAGAGAACACCTTCAAGAAGTAACAGTTGCTTCCGCCGCATATTGAAGATTTGCAAACCTTTGGTCTTTTTGGTCATTATTTAAACTGTTTCAACCTCTCCTGTATTAATTCTTCTTTAGTTCTCAGTTAATCTGGAACATTCAGCACCGAGTAAACCACTGGCAGTCTTCACTTCTCGGACTGAGAGCTGCTCTCCCCATGAGGTAAAATGTCATTTAAATTGCAATTATTAGGGCAGCCTTAGAATTTTCCTTTTCAACTGCACTGACACACTATTCAGCCTTACTTTACCTGCATGAAAACATTAAGCATAAAGATTCACAGGTTCTTGGTATCTGGAGATGTGGGAGGTTGTTATATTTTTGTATGCCGCTGCTACAAGTGTGCCCTTTGATTTTTTCTCTCTCCCTTCATTAGAGCAGAACCCAAGAAAAAGAAGAAGGTGGATCCAAAGAGAGAACTTGCCATAAGGGACCGGATGAGGAAGAAGATTAAAAAACTGGAAAAGGCTCCTCAGGAATTGATTCCCATTGAAGACTTTATAACACCGTTCAGATTCATGGATGAAGCAAGGTGAGGATGGGGAATACCTAGCAACTAGGGTGCTAAAATGTTTAGTTTTCAAGAAATACATTCAGTTTGTAGATCCAGTATTAGTTTCATGTGAAGGCAAAACAGATTTGCCAGTTTTTGCGGCGTTCAGCGCTGTTCAGTTTGGGAGTGTAGCTGAGTCTCTCAGCGCAGTGGTTCTCAACTTGTGGGTCCCCGGGTGTTTTGGCCTACAACTGCTAGAAATCCCAGCCAGTTTACCGCTGTTAGGATTTCTGGGAGTTGAAAGCCAAAACATCTGGGGACCCACAGGTTGAGAACCACTGACTTAGTGTTTCAGCAAATGTGTGGGTCCATTTATTATTATTATTAAAATCAATTGCACTACGTTGGAAAGAACACTACCAAAGCCTCCTGAATTGCAGCTCCAATGTGGCCGAAGAGGTTCTCTCACAAATCCCACAACAAACCAGGGATGAGCTTGCAGCACTGCCTAATTTGGAAGACGTCAGCAATGCCATCAACCAACAAAAAAATAACAAAGCCAGCGGACCTGATGGGATCCCTGCTGAAATCTTTAAAGAGGGAGGACCTGAGCTGACACACCAACTCCACCAGCACATAGAAAAAGTGTGGGTGACAGAAAAATCCCAGCAGATTTCAAGGATGCCACCATCATCACCCTCTTCAAAAAAAGGGGAAAGAACAGACTGCGGAAACTATCGAGGTATCTCCCTTCTAACCTCCGCTGGGAAAATCCTCCCAAGAATCCTTGCAAACCGCCTTCTACCCCTCTCAGAAGACACCCTCCCGGAAACCCAGAACGGCTTCTGCCCCTCCAGAGGAACCGTGGCCATGATCTTCACTGCACGACAGCTCCAAGAAAAATGCAGGGAATAAAATCAACCTCTGTACATGGCATTCATCGACCTTGCAAAGGCATTCGACACAGTGAATCGCAGCGCTCTCTGGACCATCCTCCAAAAAATCGGGTGCCCTAAAAAAATCGTGAACATCCTGCGGCTTCTCCATGATAACATGACGGCAACAGTTTTGGACAGCAATGGCTCCCAATGTGACCCATTTAAGGTGGAATCAGGTATCAAACAGTGATGTGTTATCGCCCCAACTTTATTCTCCATCTTCATCGCTATGATACTTCATCTTGTTGATGGGAAGCTTCCCAGTGGAGTGGAAATCATCTATCGGACAGATGGCAAGCTGTTTAACCTCAGCAGACTGAAAGCCAAAACAAAGGTTACAACAACATCTGTTATATAACTCCAGTATGCTGATGACAACGTCATCTGTGCACATTCAGAAGATCTACAAGCCACTCTAAACACCTTCGCAGAAGCATACGAGAAGCTCGGCCTGTCATTGAACATCGAGAAAACCAAAGTCCTCTTCCAGCAGACACCAGCCAATCCCTCTCCAGTGCCAGAGACACAGCTTAATGGTGTAACATTAGAAAATGTTGATAATTTCCGCTACCTTGGCAGCCACCTCTCCACCAAAGTCAACATCGACACCGAAATACAACACCGCCTGAGCTTTACCAGTGCAGCATTTTTCCGAATGAAGCAGAAAGTGTTTGAGGACCGGGACATTCGTAGGGAGACCAAGGTGCTTGTTTATAAAGCTATTGTCCTCCCAACCCTGCTATTTGCCTGCGAAACATGGACTGTATACAGATGTCACATGCAACTCCTGAAACGATTTCATCAGCGCTGCCTCCGGAAAATCCTGCAAATCTCATGGGAAGACAGGCGGACAAACGTTGGCGTGCAGGAAGAACCAAAGACTACCAGCATTGAAGCGATGGTCCTCCGCCATCAACTCCGCTGGACCGGTCACGTTGTCCAGATGCCCAACCACTGTCTCCCAAAGCAGTTGCTCTACTCCGAACTCAAGAACGGAAAACGGAATGTTGATGGATCGGAAAAGAGATTTAAAGATGGGCTCAAAGCCAACCTCAAAAACTCTGGCATAGACACTGAGAACTGGGAAGCCCTGACCCTTGAGCACTCTAACTGGAGGTCAGCTATGACCAGCGGTGCTGCAGAATTTGAAGAGGCACGAATGGAGGGTGAAAGAGAGAAATGTGCCAAGAGGAAAGTGCATCAAGCTAACACCGACCAAGACCGCCTTCCACCTGGAAACCAATGCCCTCACTGCGGAAGAAGATGCAGATCAAGAATTGGGCTCCACAGTCACCTACGGATCCACCGCCAGGACACCAAACTTAGAGGACCATCATCCTTGGACTACAAGGGATCGCCTAAGTAAGTAAAGTATGGTTATGTTTATCATGCTTATTTATACCCTCCTTTTAAAAATGTTGTCTTTGTCAATTTAATGTGTAATTTATCTATGTATTGTCTCACTGGCCAAGTCTCTCTGAGGTTTCATTCAGCCACTTTTCAATCATGCTTGGAAATGGCAGGGATTGAATAATAATAAGTGTTATTATTATGATGTTTATGGCAGGGATTGAATTCAGAGCTTTAACAGGAAAAGCCCACAACTGAGTCACCAATCCACTGTTTTATGTGACAAACGTTCAGGAATTTGGCCCTCTAGTGATAAAGTCTGGATTTATATGAACTCTTGGCAGATGTCCAGAGTGTATTAAATACAGGTTAGATTATGATACTGCTTTGCTCCAGAAACAGATGTGTTACATAATACAGTACAGGAAATGTTAAACTCTGGACTCTTTTGTGATGTGTCAAAATGTAACTCGCTTCTAATGCTTCCTTTTTTCAGAAGACTTTCTAGGTTACGTTGGCTCAGTAAGTCATTGCATCTCTCCTAAAACAGAAGGGGGGGCACCTTTGGCCCTCCTGTTGCTGCTGGAGTTCAGTTCCCAGTCCAACAACAGCCGGAGGGCTGGAGGTTCCCCACCTCAGTTCTGAAAGAAGGAGAAGCTCAGGAATGCAGCCGGGTTTGTACCCCCTTTCTGTCCAATCGGCCCTAAGGAAGGGGTGCCAATTCTGTCTGTTTTTCTTTTCTGTCAGGGTGCGAGCCATCTCTCCCCTGTCCTTTGAGGAGAGCGAAAGACGAGCACTGCTTTTGAAGAAATGGGCAGTGTACAAGCAAACGCAGAACAAGGCAGAGATGGAGGCAGCCAAGGCTCTGATGGAGGCCCAAGAAGAGGCCTTAAAAGAACTGCGCCTTGAATCGGAGAAGCTGTATCAGGCGGCTATTCAGCGGGATGAAGGGCTGTTCCCTTTTGAGAGGCAAGAGCCAACCCACACACCACCAGTGTCTAAGTATGAGGCTCCCGAAGGGAGGTGCCATGACGTTACTAAAGTTTATACTCATTGACACCAAAGGTTGTGAAGGGACTGTCAAAAGACACTCCATTCGATAAATGAATAAATGATACACAGCAGACTGGAAAGCAATCTGGCTACCCACTAGTTCTGAGTGAGGCAAATCGTGCCTGAAGCAAACAAAACTGAAGTGGGTGTGTATCATTTTTAGAGTGGGGTATATTTGAGACACTGGTAATCCCAATCTTCATGGACAAACTGTGTGCTAAAACATTTTGAAGACCCAACCCTCAACAATTTCCTTTCTGGCTCATGGATGTCAGTGTGGGATCCTATTGTGTTTGGGTTTTGTCATTTCCTTTATGACAATTTGAGGTATTCTGAGAGCTATTGAGCAGGATGCTCATTTAAAAAGAATGGAATCCCTGGGAAGAAGTACATACGTTTATTTGTCAGAAGTGAGTTAAAATCACACTGCTTTTGTTTTGTTATGCATTCGATCAAATACAGTACATTCAATTCTTTGTTTGCCACCTTGTCTCTAATACAGACTTTCCCGCCTATAGACTGCATATGAGAAGGCTTTTAAAAAACAATCTGAAAATGATGTTTTTTGGGAATGAGAGTGCTCATTTTGAAGTGGTAGGTTGCTTTATACTCTTCCTGCTTTTTGGAGAGAGAGAAACTCTTCAAAAATGTTCTTATCACTTTGCTGTGTACACTTCTCTAGGAAGAGCTTTGATGAGTGATTTCCACACTTTAGTCTTCCAGATATGGACTTCAGCTCCCAGAAGTCCTGTTGGCTGAAAGGGCCAAAGTTTAGGAATCACTGGGTTAGATCTCTCAGGAGTGCTGTGTTTGTTCACAATACCAAGCCCACATTTTCCTCAGGATACACTTTGATTTGTCTGTGTCAACTTCATTAACCCAGAATCAAATGGAAGAACTGTGTGACTTGCAGTCAATACACAAAACAACTGCACATTGCAATAGCTATAGAAACCCTCTGAGCTCTTTTCAGAGATTCATCTGGCTACAGCTCAACTAGGGATAAAATGATTTTTAGAACCATTTTCTGACCAAGGGGACAAGACAAAGTGGGGTTTAGGAATGCCTGCAAAGCCTTGTAAACAAGAAAAACACTGCGACAAATCCCACCTCCAACTATATTAACACAACATCACAACACAAAGATCAGGAACAGATAAATCTATTGCAAGTACAGGCCCAAACTAAAATGAGGTATATGATTTACAGGAACATGGATTTATGGCCAGAAATTGTCCCGTACAGCACAGTTTTGGGATACCTTTGAAGAGACATCGCATCTGTCTCAAATCTGGGCTCTGTCACTTTGGCTTGTCTTCATCAAGGGGCATATACCAATCTGCTGGAGGGCTTTTTCTCAGGGTCCACACCGGAGTATGCTTCTGCTTCTCTGCAATCCGCTCCCTTTCGCTGTTACATAGGGCATCCTAGAAGAGATAAAAATCAACTATTAATTCCATTTTAGATGCTCTTTTCAGCAGAAAAGACCTGGGTGTGGTACAATATAAAGGCACATGACAGTTTGGGACTTCTGTGATTTCTATCCCACTTTTCTCCCAAGACTCAAGGCAGCTCATGTCATCGAAGACAATGGACAATGATAGCATGGTAAGTTCAGATATTAAAATATAATAAATAATAAAAGTTTATTTTTAACCTGCCCTCTCTCCCCAAAGGGACTCATGATAATGATGAAATGATAATATTAAAACACTGTAAAATTAAAACAATTGAAAATAACATCAATACTAACTACAATTATTTATTTATTTCATGTGTATCCTGCTCTTCTCACCCCGCAGGGGACTCAGAGTGGCATACATCACACATCTAGGCAAACATTCAATGTACTTATATTACTTGGATTTAGGGAGCCTATCAAAGTGGGAAACATCTGGGTCTTCAGATGTTATTTACTGCAACTCCCATGAATCCACACCTTTAGCTATGTTGGTGAGGGCTAATGAGAAGTGCATTCCAATATGACCTGGTATGAGATGGGTGCAAATTGTGTTGGCCCTCCAGGTTTTATTCTACTCCAATCTCATCAACATAGATGATTATAATATTATGTAGTGGGCCACATTTTCCTCATGAAGCCTTCGGGCTGAGAGGGACGGTATACAAATATAGCAAATAAAGAAATAAAAAAATATATTTTAAACTGGGACTACCATTTGGTTCATGAAATCACAGATTGACAAAGTTTGAAGAGGCCCCAAGGACATCCAATTCAACCAATTCTGCCATGCAATTCTGCCATGCATCTCCCAACAGATGGCCATCCAGCTCCAAAGAAGGAGATTCCATTGGACTCCCAGGAAGCATATTTCCCTGCCAAATGGTTCTTACCATCAGGAAGTTCTTCCTAATATTCAGGTGGAATCTCTTTTCCTGCAATTTGAATCCATGGCTCCATTGTGTCATAGTCTCTGGAGCAGCAAAAAATAAGTTTGTCCCTCCCCTTTCAAATATTTAAACATGGTTCCCATGCCCCCTTCTCAGCCTTTTCCCCTTCTAAGTTGTTCCACATAGGGCTTGTTTCCCAAGCCTTTGTCCGTGTTGATTGCCCTTCTATGAACACTTTCTGGCTTGCCCATATCTTTCCTTAATTGTGGTACCCAGCACTGAAGCAAAGCACAATAGAATGGGACTATGACTTTCCTCGATCTCAACACTATACTCCTATTGCTGCTGTTTTGTAAGCTATCCCAAGTCCCTAGGGAGATGGGGCAGGATATAAAGATATAAAGAATTTTATTATTATTATTATTATTGATCCAGAATCATAGCTATTGGGTGTAATTCTTGGATGAAAGTCAATTCTGTTGTTATAAGAGAACTTCAGTAGATTACATAACTCCTCCAAAGAGGAAGGTAGCCAGAAAGAAAGACAAGACAAACTTGCAGGAAAAAAGCAACTTTTTTTGCTTTACAAAACTCAGACTCCCCTAGCCAGAATGGCCAGTGACCCTAATGGCTAAAGACAGATCTACTCCAAACTATGGAAGGAGTTGATACAAATCTCTTACTGCACAGCATACCTTTGCGGCCGCGCTTTTAGTTTTCTCCCATGCTCTGCAATTCTGGTAGTCTCTTTTCCACTGTGTACAGGACGGTGTCTCCCCATATGTATAGTAATGGTGGAAGAGGTTCAGGATGGTCTTGCACTGTTTCCATTCGGACCAGTAATCGTCGCAGGCTCGTGGGGGCTGCCCGAGAAAAAGACAAGAGCTTCTAGTTAACTGCAGCAAAATTTTATTTATTTATTTATTTATTTACGCAATTTCTATCCCGCCCATATCAGCTCGAAGGTGACTCAGGGTGCCGTACAGAGTTGGCACAATTCAATGCCATATATGAAATACATACATTGATTAAAAGCAAAAAACAAAACAAAAACAAACACATTACAGTACATTTAAAATCATAAGAACAATGAACAATATTGCTATGTCCTATGCTCTGGTTAAGTCTGGAATATTCCCCCCCCCCCCCCCGACATCTCCTGGAAACAAAATAGAAACATTCAAATAGATAATTTTACAATACAAGTACTGTCAGCTTGCATGGATATGATGTTTTGGTATTTATAGTGTAACAGAATATTGCTTATAATCTAAAGCAGACCTGGGTGAACTTTGGACTTCGGAGTTGAAGTCTAAAACACCTGAAGTCCGAAGTTTACCTACGCCTGGTCTAGAGGAAATTCCCCTTGGTTTTAAGGGACTTGGACACAAGTGCATATAGGACTGTAGCATTAACATTTCTCAACAAAGTGCCATAAAAGACTGCTATAAGGATGTTTGTATAAACATAAAAAGAGCAGGTGAATACATAATATTAATAACAATAATAATAATCTATATCTAAAAGTCAAAGTATATATGTGTACATCTGTAGGAGCAAAGAAACCAAAATACTTCCAAAAAGGAGGAGCCCCCTTTACAGAAGGGAGGGCGAGGAAGGACGCCACAAAAGTTGAATCTTCAACTGCTGAAAAATATTTATTGCAATAAACCCTTTGATTGCATTCCTTTATGTAATACCGACAAACTGCATACAGGCTGCAATCAAAAAGTTTGTCACAACTCCCATTGAGGCTGCGGAGCATTTCTCATTTTTGGCAGTAAATTGAATACACATTCTCATTGGTCTAAGCTACCTATACAGCTGCTCATTGGTTGTTTATTTTGATTGACATTATAGCACATGTGGGACCCTAACAACTACACAACTATAGCACAACTGTAGTCTATTGTTCTCTGACCATGACTGTCGTAATGAATCAATCTTATCGGTTCGACAGCGACTGGGAAACCTGGGAGTTCCAGCCCTTTTCTGGCCCAGAGCAGAGGGGAAGGAAAGGAAGAAAGCAGATAGCTAGGTGAAGTGGCCTTCTGTGGTGTCACTAGGAAAGAAAGGGATTGAAGATTAAGCTGTGACGTGTATGAGGGAAAGAGAGAGAGAGAGAGAGGGAGGGAGGGAAGAAATAGGAAAGGGGGAAAGGTATGAAGGGAGGGGAGTACAAAAAGGAGAGAAGATAAAGGGAAGGAAGAAAGGAAAAGGGGAAGGGATGAGGGGAAAGGCTTCCTTTCAAAAGTAATGTGTCTACAGCTTCAAATCCGTTTGAGAGTGATGTTTACAATGGTTGGATTTCCGCCACCTGTCCCCGCAAGAGAGCATGAAAGCCTTGCAAGGAGGCCCAGCCCGCCCCCTTCCTTCGTGGCTCTGCTTGAGGCTTGCGGTTGGCGGGGTTTCTAGCTGAGCCTGAACTACACCTCCCAGTGGCCTTAGCCACTCCAAGATACAGCAAAGAACTCTGGGAGATAGAGTCCAGGCCCTCTGGTGGAGCCACGCGTCGCCTCCCTCGGCGCCTCGACACGTCCTTCAACTTAAAAAACACCTGTGTTTTATTCGTGAAAAACAGACCAAGCCACCCCGAGCGGAAAACACAAACGAGGGCGTTCTCACCCGCCAGGCCTCCTGGTCAGCCATACTGCTGCCTCCGTTGCCTCCAATTGGTCGAGCGAGCCGCCTTTCAATAGTGTCACTAACAACCCACCCCCGCCGCGTCTAATTGGTCGAGCGAGCCGCCCTTCAAAAAGGGAAACTCGCTAAGAACCCACCCACCCCGCCAGGTCTAATTGGCCGAGCGAGCCGCCTTTCAAAGGCGTCAATCACTAGCACACAGCTCCCCGGTATGGGCAGGTCCCGCGGTAATTACAAAAGGAGCGATCAAAGCAAAGGGCTCCCGTTTCAACGCTTCGCTCGACTTCCGGCTCCCCTGCGAAGTTCAAAAAGCGGAACCCTATACTGGGTAGAACTACTGCCGTTAGGCTTTTTCACTTCCAAAACTCACTGCCCTGGGATCCTGAGAGTTGTCGTTTGGGGAGGCACCAGCACTCTTTGGCAGGGAAGGAGAAAGAGCTTGTCAAACTACAACTCCAATGATCCCACAGCACTGAGCCAGAGCAGTCTAAGTGGGGCCAATCCCCCCCAGCCCCTGCCAGAAAACTCAATGAAATTCATGTTGACAATGGGCAACTTGATAGGAGGCAGAATATCCTAGTTCAATGCACTGCCTAAAATCCCTGAAAAACATCAGATCCAGTCAGATCTCAGAATTGGAACTTGGATAGGAGACCACCGAGCTACTGGGGACTCTATTTGAGGGCACTTGGCTTAAGGTAGCCCTATGGAATGAATGGAGTTGCCCTCAGTCAACAGGCCACTTAAAGGCACAGGGACACACAGCACATCCAACTTAAGCCCTTAAGAGGCATTGAGGATGTCTGACCCTGGAAGCTAAGTGCTTAGGACTTGGATGGAAGACTGCCAACCCATCCCAGGCGCTGGAGGCTCTATTTCAGAGGAAGGGCCTGGTCAAACCCACCCAGAAAAAAACATAGGGTCACCCTAAGCCTCCAGGCGACTTCATGGGCCCTTTTATGTAAATGGACTTTTGGAGCAGGGAGGGAGGAGGTTCCTCTTTTAGAGTTAGGCTCCCAGATGTTCAGAGAGATTCCGGGACTGCCAGTCTAAAAGGCAGACATCCAGGACTCCCAGGCGCTGTCTTTTGGGGGCAGGAATGATTCAAACCCCCTCTGAGGTCTAAGAGGAAGCCACAGGGCCACCACAAGCCCACAGGCGACGTCACAACACACAAGCTCTGACCTCAGTCCTTTCTAACCAAACGGACCTCCGGAGCAAGGCAGGAACAGTTCTTCTCTTCCAATACCACTCCCAGCCGTTCAGAGACAATTGGATAAGCGGTATTCGAAAAGTCAGAACTATCCCCAAAAGTCCAAGTCTCCCAGGAGCTGGATTTCAGAGGAAGGAATCCGCCCAACCGCCTCCGAGGTCCTCTTGTCTAAGAAAAGCAGATTAAATTCATTTCAAGCCTTCATCCTAAGGGTCCAGGCTCAAACGTTTGGTGCAGAGGGGAAAGGTTTTCATTTAGATCGTGCCTCACTGCCACCAAAGCGGAGCAAGTGACAGACAGTCCAAAAGAAAGAACCGTCCCAAAGGAATCTCAGGTGATACAGGCTTGGTTTCAGGTGATACAGGCTTGGTCCCAAAGGAGTCTCAGGTGATACAATCTCAGGTGATACAGGACCTGGCCAAACCACCCCAAAGGATCCCTGGCTTGAGCAAAGCTGATTAATTACATTCAAGGGGTCGTTGTTAAATCAACGAGCAATTTTGAAAACACAATTTTGAACTAAGGACAAGGAGAGGGCCCCAGCTCCCTGCTGCCATAAGCAGGGACATATTTTACTTAGCTCAAGTTCCATCCGAGTTAAGTCCTCGCCGGCAACAGGCCTTCCATTTCCAACTCTCTAAACCAGAACTTTTGTGAGGCTCTTTCTTCTCTCTGAAAGAACAACAAAGAAACAACCCAAGAAAAAGGCTCTGAAAGGATCCGAGGTACTGCAGCATTATTTTATTGTTTGGAAGCCAAAGGATTCAGGATTTAGGGTTTCCTTCCTTTCTTGCGCAGCGATTGGCCTTCTCCCGAAAAGGCAATGAAGCGTTGTCCAGGATCGTCCTGAGAAGAGGGAAGGAAACATATTACTATTAATAATAATAATAATTGGGAGGGGGGGGTTGCCTAACAACCTCTTACTCTGCAACATTTTTACCATCCAAATCTATATTTAAAAATTGTTATCACTATTAACTTTATTTATCCGCCGCTTTTCTCCTCATAGGGATGCAAGACAGCTAACACCACCACAATGTGATGACAACTTACAACAAATCAAATACAAAAACGCACACATACCAAAATAAACAATTAAATATTAGCATCTGGATATAAAGTTAAAATACAATTAAAATACAATAAATACAATTACAGAACAAAACCTTGTCACGTATACCCTTTAGAAGAGGTATGGGCAAAGTTTCTAACTTGGGGGCCACACCCCCTGCTAGGAGGACTGGCTTCAGTGACTTAAGGAAGGAATGAAGGGAAGGAGGAAGGGAAGGAGGAAGGAAAGAGAGTTGGAAGAAAGGACAAAAGGGAGGAAGGGAAGGATGGAAGGAGAAAAAGGAAGAGTGGGAAGGAGGGAGGAAAGAGGGAAGGAAGGATGAAAGGGTGGAAGGGAAGTATGGAAGGAAAGGAGGAAGAAAAAGAGAAGGAAGGAAGAAAAGGAGGAAGGGAAGGAGGAAAGAGAGAAAGAAAGAAAGACAAAAGGGAAGGAAGGAAGGAGAAAGAGGGAGGAAAGAAGAAAGGAAGGATGAAAGGGTGGGATGGATGGATGGAAGGAAGGAAGGTTGAAAGGAATGGAGAGTGGGACAAAGAGAGAGGGAGGGAAGGGAGGGAGGAAAGAGAGAAGGATGGAAAGACAAAGGGAAGGAAAGAAAGAAGGAGAAAGAGGGAAGGAAAGAAGGATGGAAGGATGGAAGGGAAGGAGGAAGGAAAGAGAGAAGGAAGAAAAGATAGATAGAATGAGAGAGAGGAGGGCCTGAGAAAAGAGCCCAAGGGTTTGCCCATCCATGCTTTAGAACATGTTTCTATTCCAGCTCAACATAACAGGATTCTAAAATTCTTTAAACCAAAGCTGTTGTGTTGCATCAAAAAGACGTTTCACATATGCTACATAATTAATTATGATTATACTTTTTATGTCTTATCCCCACTTTAGAACATTTTTCTACCAAAGCAAAGTTTCAATGTAACAGGATTCTAAAATTTCTTCAGATCAATGCTATTGGGTTTCATTGACAAAATGTTTAATATATACTACATTAATAATAATAGTAATAATACGGCATATATGAAACGTTGTTGTTGTTTCTTATCCACCTTGACCCAAGGCTCGACGTGGGTTACAACAGTGATATTGTAGATATAAACGTATAGCTAGCCCCAGTTAGTAACCTTGCTGCCAATCATTGCACTATTTACAATTTCCGAGCTGTCTTCAAAGGCAGCCCCACGTAGAATGTAATTAGTGCAATGACTGGCAGCAAGGTTACTAACTGGGGCTAGGTATAGGAAGCACACCATGCCCCTATTAAAACAGCTCCACTGCCTGCCGATAAGTTTCTGGTCCCAATTCAAAGTGCAGGTTATCACCTATAAAGCCCTACATGGTTCGGGTCCAGCCTATCTTCGTTTTTGCATCTCCCCCTATGAACCGGCAAGGGCTTTAAGATCTGCCGGGGAGGCCCTCCTCTCGCTCCCACCTCCATCTCAAGCAAAGCTGGGGTTTTTTTCCCCTATGTCAGGAGCGACATGAGAAACTGCAAGTTGCTTCTGGTGTGAGAGAATTAGACATCTGCAAGGATGTTTCCCAGGGGACACCTGGGTGTTTTGATGTTTTACCATCCTTATGAGATGCTTCATGTCCCCGCATGAGGTGCTGGAGCTGACAAAGGGAGCTCATCCACACTCCCCCTGGATTTGAACCTCCGACCTGTCGGTCTTCAGTCCTGCCGGCACAAGAGTTTAGCCCATTGTGCCACCGGGGCTCCAGCACAGCTGGTGGGGATGAGGGAGAGGACCTTCACGGTGGTGGCCCCCCGATTTTGGAACATCCTCCCCAGGGAAATTAGACAAGCCCCCATACTGCAACACTTTCAGAGAGAGTTAAAACATGGCTCTTCAAGCAGCCCTTTGATAATGTTTAGGTACCAGCTAAACCGATTGCTGATTACTTTTGCACTTTAATGTTGATATTTTAATTGGTTCACAAGTGGGATGTTCAATTGATTGTACAGCCCATTTTAAATTAGTGGCTACTGCCATGTTTTACTGAGCACTTTATTTAATTTGAGTTGAGCTTTGTTAATTTCCGTATGTTGTGGTTTTATGTAAATTTGTGTGTTATTGATTTTATAAATGCTGATGTATTGTATTTTATATGTTGTGTGCTACTCTGTAAGCTGCCCCAAGTCCCTATGGGAGATGGTGGAGGGGTATGAATAAAGTTTTATCATTGTTGTTATTATTATTATTATTATTATTAATGGATAAAAACATAAATCCATTTAAAACACACAGATCAAAAACACAAGACGGAAACACACAATACAATGAACCATAGCTATACAGGCACTCTCTGTGTTACAAACATTTGACTTAGAAATGACTCATAATTAAGAATAGGAGTGAGACAACAGGAAGTGAGAGCATATATACTCCTCGGAAGGGAAATCAACTCCTGAAAGAGTTAATTATCATGGGTGAAATTAAAGCTTTCTTGCTAATCCTTGTTTCCACAACAAGTCATTTTTTTCAAAATCCAATTATCATAGGAACAGAAAGTGAAGCGAAATCTTCAGAGCAGGGGCAGAGACAGCAAAAGTAACACCACAGGAGTGTTAACCCTTCCCTATGCTCTCCAAAACTATATATGTGTGTGTGTGTGTGTGTGTGTGTGTGTGTGTGTGTGAAGTTACACTTTAAAATGTACCTATTTTGACTTACAAATTACACTTACAGAACCTATCTTGTTCATAACTTGGGGACTGCTGTATAATTAAAATTGACTGGGATGGCCTGCAGGAAGGGCTCTTTCAAAGAATCCCAATAGTCTGTTTAAGATGGTCATTCCTCTAAGAAATTGTTTGATCCTAATCTATCAATAAGAGTGAGTGGCAGTTGGAGGGATGAAAATTCAAGACATCTCCCAGTCTATTTTTGGTCCCATTTTTCAAAAGAATATTCAATATGCAACTTTAACATTTGAATGTCCCCAAATCTTTTTATATTTGAACGAAGTTCATCTTAACCCATTACATTTTAGCAAAAAAGGCAAAGCCCAGAAGAGTAAAAAATGCATCCACTTTTCCTCAACAGACCACTCAAAGTCTCCTCTAAGAGAACACAGGCTTTGTTCAAACAAGGGTTCTTTGAGCCCACTTGTTTACTGTTCAGCTTTTCTTTTCCTTTGATTGTGGATGTTTGTTCCCTTCCCCTGTTATTTGCTGGACTGCTTGCCCGTTAAGTACATAAATGTTGTAAACATCCCACATACTATTACCCCTGGGTGCAAGCTGACAAAAAGTTCAATCACAAATACAGATTACAAAAAAGCAATCAACAGAAGTATTATGTTATCCCAGGTACATATCAAAAACAACGGTGCAAGTTGTTTTATGAAAACACAAAGGAGCGCTGATTTTCCTTGTCTATTGAACAGTTAGCAATTGCAGTAACTGTTTATATAATTGAAATATATGGAGAAGAGATAAAATTGGTACATTGGGGAACATTAAGAACCCACACAGTGGGGTGGTTTGAGCACTGGGCTATGACTTTGGGGACCAGGACCAGGCTTTGGATCCTTGGTTGGCCATAGAAACCCAGTGGGTGAGCTTGGGCAAGTCACACTCTCTCAGCCCCTTAGGGTTGCTGTAAAATGGAAACACTTGAAGGCACATGATGGAAAAATAATAATTTAAAAATAACACTGGCCAACACACATTTTGGTGCCTCAAATGGTAGAAATAATAAAAATAATAGGTATTATTATTTTATTTCTTTGTGGCTCAAGATGTAGGATTTGTTTCTGATTCAAAAAATGGCACCAGTTTTCACCTATCACCTGTCAGTTTTCACAAAACATATGCCATATACTTAGTCACCCATAGAAAACCATGATAACCCTATCAAAGAAACTAAGAGTTGATATGGTCTATCTCATGAAATGTTCTAAATCAGCACCCCAAAGAACCCCAGGGAACAGGCCTAAAGACCAAGAAAAAACATTTTTTTAATTGGGCTGTGTAATCTAACTAAAGCAAGTTCAAGCCTATCTATGTAGCAATGCCCTAATCCACCAAGAAAATCAGCAGGTATACATCCAGATGATATGAAACCATCAGAGATGGTATATAAAGGAGGTATGACTTCTGGATTTTCTGGGCTTCATCAGCAATACCTAGCTACTAGCCAGACTGTCTTGGCCCCACCAGTATCACAGATCGATTTCAAGAAATTACCCTACATGACTTTTCACAAACATTACAAGTAGTTTCATGCATAAAAATGGCATACATGTCCCTCTAGTCAAGTATGTTAACCCTTTGGAGAAACAGACAATCCCACCTATGAAATTTCATAGGTACTCACTTCTTCGATTTTTTTGACCAGCGGCCGCGAGTTCCTGATGAAGGTGATCTTGCCAATCTTGAACTCATAATTAGGAATGCCTCTGTGAAAGAGAAATCAGGGCCTGTTACTTATTTATTACAAATATACAAGACCCGATAGGCCACAGTAACAATAATAATAGACTGCTGTGAGTTTTCTGGGCTGTATGGCCATGTTCCAGAAGTATTCTCTCCTGATGTTTCGGTCACATCTATGGCAGGCATCCTCAGAGGTTGTGAGGTCTGTTGGAAACTAGGCAAGTGGGATTTTTTATATATATATATATATATATATATATATATATATATATATATATGGAATGTCCAGTGCCAGACAGCCTGGAAAACTCACAGCAACCCAGTGATTCTGGCCATGAAAGTTTTCGACAACACATTGGTAATAATAATAATAATAATAATAATAATAATAATACTTTAAGAGCCTGCCACAACCCTTGTCCAAAGCCGATAATTATTTTTATGCCCATCTAAGGAAGGACAAAAACTAAGGGAGCACGAAGGCATTAAACCTCAAGTCTAGATTGAAAGGGATGCCATTTCATCTTGAAATTTCCCCAATTTCAGTGGTTCCAAATGCATTCGACTATTAACATCATAAATTTTTTTTCATGTCAGGAGAGACTTGAGAAACTACAAATTGCTTCTGGTGTGAGAGAATTGGCTTTCTGCAAGGAAGTTGCCCAGGGGACCACTGGAAGTTTTGATGTTTTACCATCCTTATGGGAGGCTTCTCTCATGTCCCCGCATGTGGAGCCAAAGCTGACACAGGGAGCTCATCTACGCTCTCCTTAGATTCGAACCTCTGACCTGTTGGTCTTCAGTCCTGCCGGCACAAGGGTTTAACCCATTGCGCCAGTGGAGGCACAGAAAAACAAAACAAAACATCATAATGAAGGAGTTTATCAGCAGCTTATATTACTAAGTCCCTACAGGAAAGGGGGAAAACTCGGAAAGTTGTGTCAAAGGCAAACAGGATGCAATATTTTTTTTGGGGGGAGGGGGGTGGAAGGTTAGCAACTTGAACATGAACATTTTGTAAGACAATATTTTTTTGTTTGTCTCACTTACTAAGTTACAAGGAAGTGCAGTTCAGATGAAGAAACAATTAAGGAAATGAGAACTGGCAATGTTAGATGAGGCACTCCCCCTCCTTTTTTGTGCTCATCTCTTATAGAAAATGTAAACATTGCACTGAAGATTTCATCATAAATAAGCGACTTTAAAGATCCAATCTCAAAAAGCCCTTTTAAAATCCCACTGCTTAGTTGGGATTGTTATCCAAGCACACAATTACCAATTAAAGAGAGAAACATCAACTATACAGGACCGAACAGTGAAGATGTGGGAATTAAGAGAAATTGACAAGTTAACAATAAGTACAAGGATAATAATTAATATAAATAAATATAAATAAAAGGATAAGTCACTGGACACATTCTCAAAAGAATGGACAGCATTTTATCAATCTGAGAGAAAGACTTTAGGTACAGGTTTGGAGACATAAAATGTGGGGATATTGACTTGGTACACAAAAGAGAAGCTGGAAAATCCACTTTTAAAACTAATTTATGTCTAAGTTGGTAGTTTTAGAGTTATAAGTAGAGATGTATGCTTGTTGTACTCTTTTCTGTGCCCTTTTTACTATCAAGAAATTAATTCAAAATATTGGTCGAAAAAAATGATTGTCAACTAATTCAGAACTTTCCTGTCAAACAAACAAGCCATGTGAGTTTGGCAAGGAAAATATGAATAGAATTGTTTGGGGCAAACTAACCTTCGGATGTCTCCGGGTTTAATAGGAAAAGGATTCGCTTCAACACCTTTCTTTTTCCCATCCAATCGGTTTCCAGATCCTGAAAACGCCTAGGGAGAGAGAGAGAGAGAGATAGCTACAGAACCAACAACCCCTTGTTCCTGTAAAAATTAAGCCTAAAGTCTCTAATTTATTAGTCCAAATTTCATTCATTCAAACTGTTCTCAGAGTTTGCAAAAAATACTAAGGTTGCTTCACAAGGTGAAAACGGTAATTCCCATTAGCCTTAGCCCGCGCTCAAAGAGGATAATTGCAATCCCCAACCTAACTCTCTCAGCCCCGCTTTAGATCAGTCGTCGGGGATACGCTAAGAAACACCATCTTATAATCTCAGTTGTTTTTTTTCTCCCCAGACTAGTACTTTGTAGGAGCGCACTCAGCATTAAGTGAAATATAATAGCCCCCTATTTGCACAACTAAATAAAAGACTTACGCGGAATCCTTTGTCACTCACATAGTCGCCAGGATCTGCTTCACCTTCCTGGAAAAGCAAAGACGACAAGACACTTTGGGTCTCTTTTTTAGAAAGCAAAAGCGGGATAAGGAGAAGGAAGAGGAGGAGGAGAAGTTGTTTATTTCATCCTGGCTCCAGGGCTCGAAAGCTTCCCGCAAGAATTACCTGTGGCAGAGCGTGCTTTCACCAGGAATATTTGGCCCTCCCGATATTTTGGGAAGGCATTTCTACCACTCAATGCTTTATTTTTTTAAGCTATATAAAGGAAAGTAGGAGAATCAATCAACAAAGCACACCACAAGAGGCAACTTACTGTGGCTTCCTCATGCTGCGCCTGCCTTTCTGGCTCTTTGTAACCCAAGGGCGCATCGAAGTCTACCTACATCAAATGGATGCAAAATGCACAATCACTCAACAGCAACAGGCTTAAGGACCGGCCTCTTTTGTTTACTTAATACACAATATTGACAGGCTGGTTTTCAACAGTTCCTTCCCAAGTGGTTCCCTCTTTCCCCAGAAATAGAATTTAAGCAGCAAAAGGGGGGGGGGGGGTGTTTGTTCATTCATTAATGCCTAGCCAACATGACATTTGCATTGACAAAAATATACAAGATGTAACACAGCAGCAATATCAAATAATACAATAAAAACAACAATATAGAAGAACACAATATAAAAGAGTATAAAGGCACTACATAAAACAAGGGAACAATCACCAACTTACATTCATATCACACTCTATGATGGACACTGCTTTGTCGGGTTTAGTCTCCATGACTCGAAGCTCATATATCTAAAAAGAAAGGAAAGAAAATAAGTCACCATTACTACTATTGTGAGCAATTTTCATGACTATGCCTTGGAAATCCTCTCCTAGTTGGATTAAACTGGACACCATCAAGCACCCCAGATCTCCTTAACTGGGAGACAATTATTTTGATTATGTATTATTTTTTATTTAGAGAATTTTGATCCTGCTCTTCAGCCACAAAGGCACTCTGAGATTATAAAAGTTTGCAAATTTGCCCTCAGGCTGACAATCTACATTAGCTGAATCAGGTTTAATAAAGACATTAGAAAACAAATGTAAGGATTGAATAGAAATATAGGCAGAAGATCCACAGTGGAGCGTCAACCCACCCGGTCTTACCTTCTCGTTGTAGTTGATGGCAATCACATCCCCGGTGGTCAGGCACGCAAAATTTCTCAGTGCATTTTCCAATCTTTAGCGGACGTTAAGTCGAAACAGCATCTCAAGGTGAAAGTGGCTGATCACTCCAGGAGCTCGCTTCCCGGCCTTTTTAAACCTTCCCAGTCAACTCCACCCCCCAGGTTTTCCCCACCCCTCGATGGTCAGCTGGTAGCGATCATTCCGCGGGCCGGCGATCAGGCGATCAGAAACTTCTCGGTAGATGTGATCGCAAGCCTACTTAGTGCAGCATTCTGTTCCCATGGCAGAATATATACAAATGGAAAGAGCACAAACAGGACGCCAGGGCAACGGCTCTCTCCCACTCACCATTCCCTAGCAACTGGCAATGAGAGGCATGCTGCCTTTGACAGGGCAGGTCAAGTGGCCCATAATGGACAGTTGCCGCGAACAACCTCACATTGCCAAGATCGGACCAGTCTTCTCCTTGAAGTGCTTTTATTCTTATAAGAGCCCTGAAAACCTCCTCGGTGGGCTTTGCTTGTTCTTCCCCTTCCCTTCTCATCTTTCATTTTGTTTTTCTACTCGCATTCTTGGGTTTCAGACTGTTTGTCTGTTCCCAATCTTAGGCCAGCCACTTAGGGCACTTTGTTGGCTAATTAGCAGGCTTTAGAAGAAATACCGTGGGACCTTGGTGTCTGCTGGCGTTTGGTTCCTGGGACCCCAGTGGATGCCAAAATCCATGGACGCTCAAGTCCCATTATATAAAATGTGGGGAGGAATCCAAGTTTGCTTTTTGGAAATCAAAAAATATATTTTTAAGATGTGGGTGGTTGAATCTGTGGATTTGAAGGGCTGACTATAAGAAGCAAGACCGATTCCACATTCCTATGGGTGAAAAAAGTTACTGTAGAGGAGGCATCCTCAACCTGCATCTCTCCAGCTGTTTTGGCCTCCAACTCCCAAATTCCTCACCACTGAACAAGTTGACTAGGGCTTTTGGGAGTTGGAGGCCCAAAAAGCTGAAGAGTTGCAGTTTGAGGATGCTTGCTTTAGAGCAGTGGTTCTCAACCTGTGGGTCACCAGATGTCTTGGCCTTCAACTCCCAGAAATCCTAACAGCTGGTAAATTGGCTGGGATTTATGGGAGTTGGAGGCCAAAACACCTGGGGACCCACAGGTTGAGAACCACTGCTTTAAAGGAATACAATCATTCACTTTCACTTACATCTCACTCTTACAAGGCAGGCTCCCTGCAGTGCCCATTCATGTCTCTGTTACCAGCTTCTGGATATACAAACCATGCACATGCTGGTCTCTGTTTTGACTGATCCATAGAGCAGTAATGGAGGGGAAGAGGTTGACAGTGTGAACACAGGTTAGCTTTCCACCTGTATTTCTGTAGCTCCCACAAAAGGCTGAAGAAAAGGATACACCGCTTTGGGGTTGGTGATGTCAAGGAAGTCAGGACTTTGAGGTTGAAATTTAGAGTACGTTGCCACCTGAAGGTTTACACTCTCTATTTGCACAAGGCCCCCTTCTTCCAGAAGGAGGTTTTGCATCATCTGCAGAACAGAAGACAGGAGCATACATTCATGCTCTTCCTTGGGAGACTAAGGATGCATCTGTGCTGTAGAATGAATGCAGTTTGACTCCAGTTCAACAGGCTCAATGCTTATGGAATCCTGGGAGCAGTAGTTTGACAAGGCCATTTGCCTTCTCGGCCAATGAGGGCTGTTTTTTCCCCAAATGACCACTCTCAGGATCCCACAGAACTGAGGCAGGGCAGTTCAACTCTATACCATTAACTCGGTGGTATAGAGTAGGCATGGCCAAAACACTTGGATTTGAAGTCCAAGTGTTTTGGACTTCAACTCCCACAATTCCTAACAACCTCAGCCCTTTTCCTTTTCCAACTCAGCCACTTAAGGGATGAAGTTTGCACATGGCTGGTGTAGATGCACCCTGGGAACCAAACCAGATGCAAAAATTTAGAGCAAGCAAAGAGTCACTTCTTTAGAGCAAAAAAGCAGAATACAAATTAAATAACAGTAACAGTATTTATTTATTTATTACCCATCTCTCATTTAAGCTCGAAACATGGCACAACATATTTAAATACATCTATAAAATCACATATTAAAACATAGTTAATTAAAATGCAACCATAAAAGCATATCTCAAAACACACAATATTAAAATACCCGAGACAAAACAATAACAACAATAGTAGTAACAGTAGTGTTAATAATAATAACTGAAGTTGTTATGCAAGCAATGCAAAAAGGAGAAAGCTGAAACCTATGCATTTGAAGTGGAACCTGAGAAGCTCATTTGGACAAGCTATTCAATGTAAGTAAGCCAGAAATAATGAGGAATCAGGCAACAGCTTCCACAGAGATCTTTCAAGTTCAGAGTAGTTGATAATACTGGCCAACTCACCTTCGGGTGCCTCCAGTGTTAGACCTGTTTTATGGGTCTATCTGACCCACTTATTCCAAAAATGGCCCCAGTTTTCTCCTAGCAGTCCTAGTTTTTTTCGATACAGAACATATGCTATCTACCAGTTGCCCACAGAAAGCCAGGATAACTTCATCTAAGAAATGAGAGTCGATGCAGTCTATCCCATGCCATTTTCTGAATCAGGGCCCCAAATAATTCCAGGAAGACACCTAAAAACCAAGACACCGACTGTGTCCACTTACCCAGTGTGGAAGATAACATATGCCCTCATCTGCCACGAATTCAAGCACACCACAGTGGGTCATACGGTCTGAATTTTTATTGGTCAATTTAAATAACATAGGATAGGTAATATTCAGTCGACCTAATAAGAACAGAAGAGGAACAATATGCTGTTAGGCTAATACCCCCCAAAAACATCTAGGTCAGGGTCTTATGTAAGCTTAAAATGAAAAGCACACCTGAGCTAGGTTTCAACCACCGACCTATATACAACTCAAAATCATGTAACAACTGATTAATTTTCCATTAACAAACAAAACAGCTAGCCAGGGAAAATAATTAGGCAAATAGAATGAAGTAGATATTTGGCCAATAGACAATGTAAGCAATTGCAAGCTTATCTAGGCTGCACCTGAGACAGCTTTCATAACTTGATCTCAGGTGCACAAAACAATGCAGTGACTAATGTACAAACAAACTGCCCATTTCATATATGGCTTAAAATAAAATATCAGGACAAGGATTTGACCAAGAGACAATAAAACAATTTAGGTTGAAAGAGTCTTGTCTCAAGAAAAGGCCCAAGAACTTAAGAACTTTGCTAAAGCTCGCTAAGGATATGGCTTGATATAAACCAGTCAGCTATGCTTCCCCATAACCTGTAGACTCCCCAAACCTATAAGCCCCATCAGTCCATGTTGCCAATGGTCAAAGACAATGGCACCTAGCACCCAACAGCATCTCAAGCAGAACAGATTTGTATTCCTGATCAAGACTTTGCTCAGTTTTGTTTATGTTGCATACATTACAGTTAGGGGGGAAAGCCTACAGATCATTCTATGGCCGTCATCCTCCTTTACTATAGAGAAGAAGTTCCCAAACTATGTTCCACGCAACCCTAGGACCCCACAAAATGGATTTTAAAATAAAACCCCATTAGACCAACTATTTGGTTTACAGTCTCCATACTAGGTTTTTTTTTCTTTTTTGTTCAGATATGGAGAAGATGAGTATTGGGATAGCATTCATAAAATGTCAATAGTAAAATGTACTCAAAGACTAGCGTAAAATGATCCAGAAGATCTATTTCGATTAAGCAAATCATAGAGATAGAGTTAAGGTCAGTAACAGAGCAGGGCTTTTTAAAAGAGAGAGTTTCATCCCCTTAGCTCAATGCTGGGCTCGCACTGCAACAATAGGTAGTGTTTACAATGGATTCTGCAGAAAATGCTTCATCTGTATTTCATAAAAAGGGGAAATCAGCCTGTGTAGCAACCCTTGCAAATACTGATTTATTATCAGCAAACCTACTACCTATGCAAAAAGGGTTTGTGAGTGGAAAAAGTTGAAGAAGTCCTGCTACAGAGTATTGAGGACACATCATATTTTGAACTTCAGCTTCCCAAAGTCCAAGCCAAGGGCAGCTAACCAGAAGAGACCATGAGAGATGATGTCCAAACCATCTGGCAGCTGAAAATTCTTTGATTCTATGTTCCTGACTGTCAGAAAGGGGGTGGACTGAATGGCCCCTTGATGTCTCTTCCAACTCTAGGTTTCTATGACTATTCTGTGCAGTAACTGAATAACCAGTCTGACCCTACACATTACAAAGGAGTTGAACAGAAGTTACTCACTGAGCTGATCCAAAGCAGAGGGAGGCATAATTACTGTGGAAACAAACAAGAAAGTTGTTGTAAGTTGAGGCAACAATGGGACATGAACATAGTTCCGACTACGCAGTTTAAAGCATTTTAGGACATAACTGTGAGTTAAAAGAAACCTCAAATTCCTCTCACACCTCTCTCTTCCACTGGGAAACAAAGAGAATATTAGCACAATGTCAGTCTGGTCTAGATAGACCATTGGGAAGACAAAGGGATCTTTCTAGATGGAGGAACACCAGAGTTGCGCATTGAAAGGGCTGCTGGTGCTGCTGTTCTGTCTGCTTCCTCCTTGTGTGTGAAAAGAAAAAAGGAGACAAGCGAGAAGTTACAAGTGGAAGACACCAACATCTGTAAGCTTCCCTCAATGAAATGGGACGGTTGCATCATAAAAGCCCTATCACAAAGGAGCTTGACACAGCAGTATAATAAACACAACTCACTCTCCACTGACCATGTGATATGGCTTTCCAACCTGTATTTATGACTTATTGACACTTAAAATTAGACATCCTGGCTTCTCACCTTGTGCAACGAATAGTGTAGTTGACTTTTTCCTGCTTTATTTTGTTTTTCCTAGCATATACAGGGGGTTGTTTTCTATACAGTACCGTTTCATTTATCTAGGTCTGAAAAAATATAAGCATTTTCTAGGTCCTCCAGCTCAACTCTATACTAGCCTTTTAAAAAAATATATAGATTCATCAATGGTGAAGGAGCCACAAAAGAGAAGGGGGGGGGGGGAGGTATTATAATAATAAAGAAATAAAATATGTATAAGTAGATAAAAGGTGTGTAGTAGAGGTATATGAAGTATAAGTTATAATGGAAAGTTTAAAAATGATAAATATGCTTAAAGATGTCATAGATTTATTTTTCTTTTACTGTTGGTTTGTATATAATATGGTATACTCCCTTGTCTAAGATATTGTAAAAAGAGGAAAAAAAACTCTATACTAGTCTTGGGGCAAAAGTCCCTGTCCTTTAGGGCTCACTATTATCCACCTTTTCACCTATCCCCCGCAGAGATGGCAGGCAGTCTATATGTCTTTCAGTCCGCTCCTTCTTCCCAAAGTAACCACAAAGGTGACAAAAATGCTTTGCAGCTCATTGTTATTTTAGGTCCCATAAGAGAAGACCACTCCAGAGAGCATCCCAAAGAAAAACCAACACATACTTTTCCCTCCTTTCTCCACATCGGATCGGTCATTAGGCCCAGCAAGCATTGACACTGAGAAACAACGGTATTGAGTTGAGAAACGGTTCTGGAAGACTCGGGGAATCGGATGATCAAACATGTTGAAAGAAAACTGGGGAGAACAAAATAAGTTATAAGCCAAGGCATTCGAAGACGTGGGTGGCCTTTACACAGAACACGACAAGCCAAAGTGGTCAAGATACTGAGACAGAAAGAGAGAACTTTTGACCCCGAAAATGTCTCAGGCTATAACCCCCACAATTCCTTAACATGGCCATTGACAGGCGGGCTTCTGGGAGTTGTAGTCCAACACATTGTTGTAGTAGTAGGCCCCCTCCCTATTGGCATTTCGGAGGAAAGTGAAGACCTGGGTGTTCGAGCAGGCATTTGAATAGGCAGTGTAATGAACATAGGAATACAGAACAACGGATGAGATTGGATTGTGATTTTACTTGAGACGTTAATGAGACGTTATATTGATGTTTAACTGTTTATTATGTTATTATTGTATTCGTTTTTTAACTGTTTTATGATGTTATGCATTGAATTTTTGCTATTGTTAACCGCTTTGAGTCACCCGAGGGCTGAGAAAAGCGGTATATAAATGAAGTAAATAAATAAATAAATAAATTGGAGGGGGATGCTAACAGTTTTCCATCCAGATAAAGCTTAATTGGACATCCTTCTTTCATGAGGTTGATGTGAGGCTCAAACCAGCAGACGGCGAATCAATATTGCATATTTAGCATTGTTGTGTGCCTTCAAGTCATTTCCAACATTGGACAAATTGGATTTTCTTAGTTCAAAGGGTTGACCATTGCCTTCCTCTTACATTGAGAAAGCACAAATTGCCCAAGGTCTCCCTTTGGGGTTCCATGGCCAACCAAGGGATGCAGCCACACTGTAGAATTAATGCAGTTTGACTCCACCTGAATTACCCTGTCTCAATGCTATGAAATCACAGAAGTTGTTGTTTTGCAAGCTCTTTTACCTTCTCTGCAGGAGTGCTCATGCTACCCCAAAATTACAACTCCCAGGATTCCTTCCTGAGGTTGAGAGTTGGAAATGTTTATCCCACTCCTTTAGAAGATTCCTATCACATCCCACTGTTATTGTGAGATTATTCCACCTTAACTGCCATGTTAATATCATACAGAAGGATGTGATTTGCAGTTGAAGGAGGGGCATTGAGAAACCTCAGCTGGAGAGCTCTCAGGTCTTACTAAAAAGCAAGCCTTTGCATTCCAAAGGAAGTTGCCATGGCGGTCAAAGAGGAATCAAAGTGCTCTAAACATGTGGAGTGATAATGACCTTATGCCTTACCTGAGGAATGTCATTTTTCCCATTTGATGTTCTTGTAACCCAGCTGGAATTTAGAAACTGTACTTTTATTTACACTTGCATTTTATAAAGAAAATATATGTGCATGCATATACATACATGTGTGTGCAAGTATCTGTATGTATATACACACATACATACACTGTATATACTCATGTATAAGTCAAGGACATGTTTGAGGGTAAAAATTATGGATTTTGATATGACCCATGGGTAAGTTGAGGGTTATTCTGTAGAGAGGGGAAAGCGCCAATGCTGCCGCTACTATTTTCCCCTGCAGGACATTCAGTAAGTCTAGAAGCAGCTTGGCAGCCGAGAGTACAGGAGACTGGTGATTCTTTGAAGTTCCCCTGAGTTGGACCAAGTGTTTGCCTTTTGCCATCTTACTCAAAGAAGGGGGAGGTTCCTGTCTTGATCAGAGTTACAGTATGTACATAGACCTGTGGATAAGCCGACCCAGGTTTTTGGGGTTGATGTTCCGGCTCAAATTTCTAGATGAATACATCAATGTATAGTTCTCAAACATACTATATGGATACACATAATAATTAAAAATGTATAGATATACACATAAGTCTATTAATGAGTCTATAATTCCCAAAGATACAATAAGTATATGAATAGTAATACTACTAACAAGAAAACATGTCCTCTGCCACCGAGCAATCCAATTTTTTAGTGTCAATAATATGGCTCAAAATTTCTAGATGTATACATTATATATAGACTTATACATGAGTCTATATATGAGTTTATAGTTGCCAAACATACTAAAAGTAAGTATATGGATACATGTGAAACTGCCTTCTATTATCTCAGGCTATCTTTTCAAACAAAGAGGCCTAGGACTCAAAGCCAGGTTCCTTTTGGCATGCAAATAAGTATGATGATGCTACCAAGGGACCACAGTTTTTGGTTCCATGTTCTAGCTCCAATTTCTAGACTTATACATGAGCCTATAGACTTGTACATGAGTTTATATACTGTATTGATGTGAGTCTAATGCGCCATCGACCCTAATGCGCACCTCAATTTTCAAAACCCTGAAATAAAAAAAGTATTTGCTGGCAGCACACTGTCATTTGGACAAAAAAGGTGTGCATTACTGTTGCTGCCTGTTTAGAATTCCTTCTTTCAAAGCAAAAGTGTTAGGACACCAAAGCTTCCAGCGACTGAAAGGAAACCCTTGGGGTGCATCTATGCTGTAGTATGAATGCATTTTAATTGCTTTGGTTCAATGCTATGAAGTCATGGCGGCTGTAATTTTCCAAGGTCTTGAGCCTTCTCTCCCAAAGAATGTGGATGCCTCATAAAACTACACCTGGAGGGAGGGAGAGCAAAAGTTGGTCCAGGTCTGGCCTATAGAGTATTATTATATTATTACATATATATAATTTTATTAGCATAGCACAATATTAGTATTATACATCATTATATTGTACTGTACCACTATGCTGCAGTATTATTAGTAATATTACATGCAATATATAATACAGACTTATTATATAATTATATCGTACTACATGATTATACCACAATATAATACACTATCAGTATATTATACTATTGGTATTTTACAATACATTGTACTATAAGTTTTAGTATATACAATATATTATATTATAGCATTTTAAAGTATTATTACATTACAATGTAATTATTTCTACATATTATAATATTATATATATTGAGGGGCTCCAGAGTGATGCTGCAGGAGACATGATGTAGCTGTGATAATAATAATAACGTAATACACTTAATAATAATAATAATAATGTAATTAATAATGTAATTAATTATGTAATGCACTTAAACACAATCGGCGCTGACAAAATTACCATCTGCCAGCTGCAGAAGGCCACCTTACTGGGATCTGCACGCATTACTTGCCGATACATCACACATTCCTAAACACTTGGGAAGTGTTCGACGTGTGATCCAATACAACAGTCTGCAGACTGTCTGCTGTGGACTGATCTTGTTGTGTTTCAAATAATACAATATCATAGAATCATAGAGTTGGAAGAGACCCTGTGGGCCATCCAGTCCAATCCCCTGCCAAGAAGCAGGAAAATAGCATTCAAAACGTTCCTGACAGATGGCCATCCAGACATCTAAAACCAATATATTAAAAATTAGTATTAGCCATTAAATACTAATGGCTACTAAATACTACTGTTAGTCATTTGATTCTAATATATTAAATATAATTACAACTGATCATCTATAATAATATATGATATACTGTTTTGTTATTGTATATTTAAAGTTGTCATGTTTTGTATTGTGAATCCCTTTGAGTCTCTGTATGGAGAGATAATGCAGGATATAAAGAATCTAGAGTAGGCCTTGATCCCCAGAGTCCTGTAAAGAACACAAGGCTTGCGATGGAGGCTGCCTCCACCCCCCAAAGAGTAAGAAGAAGAGTCAAGAAGACCCCACCAATGTCCCTGTCACCAGAAACAAGGCTTCTTCAACCACAGGAGCCCTGTCCTGCCCTCCACTGTGGCTCCCAAGCAAAGCCAAGTCTCCCCAAGGCAGCCTCGGGCGGCAGAGGCCGAGGGGGCGGCAGCAATGGCGGCTTCCTTCACTTTTCTCAGCAGGAGGCCTATCCCAGAGCCGCCGCCCCCTCCCAAGCCAGTTCTGAAGTCACAATGCAGGCGACGGGGCAGGGAGGCTCAGGAAAAGCCTCAGGGCCTAGGCCTCAAAGCCCTTACCATGGCGGCCTAGAGTTCCTCCTTTGCCTCTCTTGCTTCGGACCCGACCAAGGCCTCCGCGCCGCCGCTTGTCGCTCGCCTCACCGCCAGGGACACCTTCAACAACTCCGGCTCCACATGAAAGACCCGCGAAAACGCCTTCACTTTCGAAGGAATGTTTAGGAAGACATCGAAGGCCGTCAAGGCCTTGCAAAGTGGTGTTTTGGAATTCGTAACTACATGTCCCAGAATGCGCTTCGAGGCCTCTTCCGCCTTGGAAGCAAAAGGGGCGGGGTTTCGGGCAACTCCTCTGAGGACAACATAGGTTGGGCTTGGGTCTTCTTCACCTGAGCTGAGCTGAGCGGGCCGGGCCGACCCGCCCCTATGCCTCGCCGCCAAGTCATCTCAGTCCCCGAAGGACTGTCATCACTTCCGGCTGTGAGTCGCCATTATTTCCCCCCCCCCCTCCTCCTCCGTGAGAGAGGAAAGTGCTCCGCGTCACTCCTAATCCGCGGAATCAAATCCTACATTTCCTGCTCGAAACTGGGGGTTCTTCCAGGCTGCCCTTTATTCCAGGATTTGACCCCAGATTACCTGTTTCCAAGTGGAGTATATGCGGCCCCACTGCCAGATAACCTGGGAGAAACAGATAATCTGGGATCAGATCCTGGGATATAGGGGCAGTGTGGAAGGGCCCTGGAATATCTAGCAGTGTGGGCTCCGAGAACTCAGGGCCCTTCCACACAGCCACATAATCCAGAATATCAATGCAGAAAATCCCATAATATCTGCTTTGATCTGGGTTATCTGAGCCCACACTGCCATATATCCCAGTTCAAAGCAGATGATTGGATTCAGCTGTGTGGAAGGGGCCGAAGACAAGGGCCCTTGGCTGTTGTGCGGCGACTGAGCAAATGTTCCGGCTGACTATGCCCAGGTGATGATTGGTGTCAGGTACCGGGGCGGGCCCGCTTCGAACGTGTCCAATGAAGATCACGGAAAGAGAGAGAGAGGAGACAGCCCATTGGTCGAGGCCCGGAGCGTGGCGGCCAATAGGGAAAGGGAAAGGTTTTGGCGCCTTCCTTTGAGCGGGGAAGACAGCTTCCCGAGGAGTTTTGTCGCCCGACGCCATTGCCGCCTTCCTGTCAGCGGGTTCTTCGGCCTTTGAGCATGTTCTTAACGGACTTCCGCAAAGAGTTCTACGAGGTGGTTGTGAACCAGGTGAGCGGGAGCTTTTCTCCGGGAGTCTGCCGCCGCTCCCTCTTTGAGGCGCGGCCATGATGGAGGAGGAAGGCCTCCGCCCGCTCTCAGGAGCCCAGGGAGCTCCCTCAGGGGGACTCCCACTCTCAGAAGCTGCGAGGGACTCGGGGCAACCATTTTCTTGTCCTAATTAGAAACTTACCCATTGTAGTGCTCATTACTGCCACTCAATCAACAAACTGCGAATGATCAAAGTTTTAGCAGTTCCCACACTTGAATAACACCAGCACTCCACTTCTGTAGGGATTGAAGTGGAGGCTTTTCAACAGAGCCTGGATGGCCATCTCTCAGGCATGCTTTGATGGTGTCCTCCTGCCTGGCTGAAGGGGGTTGGACTGGATGCCCTTTGGGGTTCTCTAGAGAAATATAGACTGCTTGGGAATCCATTGGAGTCTCCTTCTCTGGAGATTTTTGAACTAAGGCTGGGTGGCCATCCAGGGCTGCTATGAGTGTGCCTTTCTGCCTGGCTATTTATTTTTATTTATTGTGTCAGAAGTGAATTGAGAATACAGTTATAATGTATTTTAAATTAAAAACACAAAGTTAAAAACTTGGCATTATACAAGATTTCATTTCACCAGAAGATGGCCACTTGGAGTGCCTCTGGTTTCACTGCAAGAAGGTGCATGTTTTTGGAAAACACCATTTGGAGATCATAACTTTAAAAAAGCATGACCTTTTGGGAAGAGCCAAAAATCCCTTTGTTTAGAATCTTCTCTTGTGGTGTACAACCAGATGTAATTGTGCTAGGCCATGATTGCAGCTGTTAGACTGAATAACCTGTTATCTCTGATCTGTTAGGAAAATAGATATTTTTGCCAGTTCATAAAACCGCAGAACTTTAGAAGTGTTTTCAGTTGTCCATATATATATATATACTCTCCCATAAAACAACTTGTTTTATATCATGCACTCAAAAGACAACAATTAAGTAGACTTTGATAAAAATAACATATTTGGTTTACTCACAACCTTCATTCATTCAGCATACCTTAGTCCAATCGGCCAGGACAATCTTACAGCAAAAACAGCAAGCAAGTGTGTGATCTGAGGTCTGAAATAGTCTGTAGTCATGAAGTAGTCTGTTTCTTTGCTATAGTGATAATGTGGTCTGCAGCCCTTTTCTAGGAACCATAGAGTAAATGAAGCTACATGCCCAGAACATACATACAAACAGTAAGCAACAGGTTCATAGATAAACATTACTAGAGAAGGCTTGAAGAAGGTTGTCATTTCCAGAACATGTGGTGACTGCATTGTAGTCAGCGATCTATGGTTTGCTCTTCTCCACACTTGCATGTTGTGGATTCAACTTCATGGCCCCATTTCTTAAGATTGGCTCTGCATCTCGTGGTGCCAGAGTGCAGTCTGTTCAGCGCCTTTCAAGTCACCTAGTCTTCTGTGTGCCCAGGAGGGAATCTCTCATCCAGTCTCAGCCACTGATTGAGGTTCTGGGTTTTAGCCTGCCACTTTTCAACTCTTGCTTTCTCAGGTGTTCCTGTGAGTGCGTCTGTAGATCTTAGAAAGCTATTTCTTGATTTAATGCATTGGTATGCTGGCTGGTATCTGTACAGAAGATGGGCCAGGGATGTCACTGCCTTGGTCCTTTCATTATTGGCTGCTACTTCCCAACAGATGTCAGGTGGTGCAATACCAGCTAAATAGTATAGTTTCTCCAGTGGTGTAGGGCATAGACATCTTGTGGTAATGTGGTATGTCTCATTAAGACTCACATCCACTGTTTTAACATATTCCACACTAGGCATACGTATTCAGTGGCAGAGTAGCAAAACACAAGGGCAGGTGTCTTCACTGTGTCTGGTTGTGATCTCCAGGTTGTGCCAGTCAGCTTTTGTGGGATATTATTTCTAGCGCCCACTTTTTGCTTGATATTCAAGCAGTGCTTCTTGTAAGTCAGAGCACAGTCCAGAGTGACTCCCAAGTATTTTGGTGTGCTTCAATGCTCCAGTGGGATTCCTTCCAAGGTAATCCCCATATGCTCGAGATGAAAAGCACACCTCTGTGATTTAGATGGTTTTCCCTGCAATACACAATATGAGCACCTAAAGCTTTGGGTTGCTGTTCAATTATTTCAAAGCTCCCTGCTTGAGCAGTGATGGCACGATCATCTGCCTGGCTAAAGAGAGTTCGACTAGATGCTCTTTGAGGCTCTCTTCATCGTTTAGTTTTGAATATATTTTTAGAGATTTTAACCGATTTTTAAAAAATACCAATGATATTTAGTCCTGTTTTAATGTGTGCATATTTCTAGATTTTAAATTGTATTGAAAAGCTTTGAAAGTAAGGCGCTTTGAGTCTCCTGGAGAGAAAAAGCAGGATATAAATGAAGATAATAATAATAATTCATCCTCATTCTCCTCCTGGGGCATCCAATGCGCTTCCTCCAAACAGCTGCTAAGCTTCTTCAAGGGAGGATACCTGACTACAACCTGTGTTTGTGGGGATTGGGACATGGGGGAGCATTTTTCATGCTACACACTAGTGTGTCCTGAAAGCTCTGGTTTAGAGGGTTCCCTTTACCTTCCTCTGAGGCTGTGAGAGAGTGACCTGCCTCAGGGCACTACACTGGCCTTCCAAAACCACACAGGGGTTTGTACCCTGGTCTTCTGAATTCCTTGCCCAACATTTAAACCACAACACCTGTGATTCCCCAGCTTTGGTTCTTCAGGAGTTTGGGACTTCAACTGCCAGAAGCCCCACCTGCTTTGGCCAAGAATCAGGGAGTTTGGGAGTTGAAGTCCAAAACTCCTAGTAGACCAGAGTTTGGGAAACTCTGAGGGAGTGTGGTTGTCAGGATTATCTATCTATCTAGGATGAGGGACAGATAGAGGAGGGTGGCACCTCCTTGAAAACAGTCTGTGTGAAAAGGATCTAGGCATTTAGTAGATCACAAGCTGATCATGAGTCAAGGATGTGATGTGGCAGCTAAGGAAGCCAATGCGATTGCAGGCTGCATCAATCGAAACCTAGTGTTTGGATTGAGGGAAGTCACAGTCCCACTCTCTTCTGCTTTGGTCAGAACTCACCTGGAGTGATACTGTGTCCACAATTCAAGAAGGAAATTGACAAGCTGGAAGGTGACCAAAGAAGGGCAACCAAAATGGTTCAAAGTCTGGAAATCTAGTCTTGTTACTCTGGAGACTGAGAAACAGTGGAGAAATGGATTCACACTGTAGGAAAAGAGATTCTATTTAAACATTTAGAAGAACTTCCTGGTGTTTAGAGCTGTTCAACAGTGCAATATATTGCTGCCTGGGAGTTTGGTGGAGAGTTTTTTTTCTTTTTTTGAAGCAGCATCTGGATGCTCGTCTGTTGTAAGTGCTTTGATTGTGTTTTCCTGCATAGCAGAAGGGGTTGGACTGGATGACCTTTGGTGTGACTTCCAACTCTACAAATATATGAATGTATGAGTGAATGAATGACAGGTTGGGTTGTTGTAGGTCTTTCGGGCTATATAGCCATGTTCTAGAAGCATTCTCTCCTGATGTTTCGCCTGCATCTATGGCAAGCATCCTCAGAGGATGACAGGTTGATAGAAATGCAGTCCAATAGCAGTTAGAAAGCAGCATTTGGCTTACTCTGCCCTACTCCAAAATCCATGTAATTGCTTCCCTGAATTGCAAACAGAAAGTGTTGAGAAGACTGGACTGAAACCACAGTCATGAGAAAAGGGAGGTATAGAAATGTTTTGGGGGGAATTCCAGGCCTGCAGGTGCGCAAAACATGTTTAAGGAAGGATAAGCTCAAACACCAACAACTCAGGATGATTGGCCTGCCAGACTGTGTGGACTACAACTCCCATTGTACCCTCGCTCTTGACCAGGTTGGGTGGGGCTGATCCGCCTTGTCAGCCATCAGCTTGGTATTAAAAAAGGGGCGGGGGAGGACCCCTGTCTGAATCTCCAGTGGGATGCCATGCATGAAAGGAATTACTAGCATAAATCCTAACCAAAAGTATTCTTTTTAAGGGCAGCTTTAAACATTCTTGCATTAAACTTCCCATGATCCCTGTCTGGAGCACCATGATTAAAATTTGACAAGCACCATGTTTTAAGTTGCTATAAAGGTTTGGACCACAGCATCTCATGATGTGACAAGTTGTCCACAAATATGAGGTAAAATGTTTTAGACTCTGAAATGCCCCAAGACTGCTGATTTGGTTACAACAAAGAAATACAGCTATTTTCTATGATTTTTCCACTTCCCAAAATAATCATCGTAGGCTATCGCTGGCGGTCAAGTGATTGATTTCCAAGTGTAGAGTCTTAGTGGTGGGTCTGTAGGTGACAGTAGAAACCTATTATTGATCGGCATGTTATTTTGCAATGAGGACATAGGTTTCCTGGTGGAAGGCGGTCCTGACAAGGGTTTCCTTGACGCGCCTTCCTCTTAACACATTTCTCCCTTTCACCCTCCATTCGTGGCTCTTCAGATTCCACTGTTGGTTAGCTTTAGGCCCATCTTTAAATCTCTTTTCTTGTCTACCAACATTCTATTCTCTGTTCTTGAGTTGGGAGTATAGTAACTGTTTTGGGAGATGGTGATTGGGCATTCAGACAACGTGGCTGGTCCAGTGAAGTTGATGGCGGAGGATCATTACTTCAATGCTGGTGGTCTTTGCTTCTCCCAGCACACTGACAATTGTCCGACCTGTCTTCCCAAGAGATTTGCAGGATTTTTCACAGACAACATTGATGGAGTCGTTCCAGGAGTTCAGTGTGACGTCTGTAGACAGTCCATGTTTCGCAGGTGTATAACAGAGTTGGGAGGACAGTGGTTTTATATACAAGCACCGTCGTATCTCTATGGATGTCCTGATCCTCAAACACTCTCTGCTTCATTTGGAAGAATGCTGCACTTGCAGAGCTTAGGCAGTGTTGCATTTCAGTAGCAATGTTGACTTTTGTAGAGAGGTGGCTGCCATGGTAGCGGAAATGGACAACATTTTCTACCATTACACCATTAAACTGTATGTCTGGCATTGCAGAGGGAGCACTTTGTTTTTCTCGCTATTCAGTGAGAGGCCAAGCTTTTTGTATGCTTCTGCAAATGTGTTTAGAGTGGTTTGTAGGTCTTCTTCTGAATGAGCACAGACTACATTATCATCAGCATATTGGAGTTCAACAACAGATGTTGTGACCTTGGTTCTGGCTTTCAGTCTGATGAGGTTAAATAGCTTGCCACCTGTCCAATAGGTGATTTTCACCCCAGTGAGACGCTTCCCATCAACAAGGTGCAGAATCACAGCTATGAAAATGGAAAATAAGGTTGGGGCAATAACACAGCTATTTGACATCTGATTCCACCTTAAATGGGTCACTTTGGGAGCCGGTCTGTCCAAATCTGTTGTCATCATGGGGAAGCTGCAGGATGTTCACAAATTTATTATTATCCCAAAAGCCTGCAAAGATATAGGCTTTCTGGTTCAGGCTATAGCATCCAGCATCCCTAGCTAAGAAACAACAAAACCAGGGTAGAAATAAATACATTTCTACCAAGCGACTATAGAAATTGCAGCCCAACAACATCTGAAGCACTTGGCTCACTCCATTATTAGGGAATTAGGAGTCAAGCTTTTTTAGCCCATCTTATAATTATCTTCCAATTTGTGTGCACATCCTAAATAGCATATTCATTTCCCGTTTAACTTGCCTTTATTTTTTGGTTGCCTGTGTTGTTTTCTATACCGAAATCTCATCAACATAGTTGCCCATCATAGTTTTCTGTAGCAATTTCCAAAGTGTAACTGTGTCTGTCTGTGGTAGCAAAAATGAGAAATGTTTGCAATTGATTGCTAGCCCCATCTAGAGTCGACCCATCAAATCAATGGGATTTACACTATGGGAAGCAAGGTGCTGAACTAAATGGACTTATGATCCGATCCATAGGTGTTATAGCAGGAGTGGAAAGTAGGATACAACATTCAGTAAGGCACAGTGAAATTGCAGATCGTATGAGCCCGTTTTCATTTTAGAAAAATGAAGTGAGGACCTTGAGCTGAACACAGATGAATATGTCCTAATTTGCAATTGGGGAAAAGTGGCCTCAATACAATAAGATTGACTTGTTTGAAAATAATTTCATTGGAGATAGAGAAGCATCCTACTAAAATAATGTGATGTTACTTCAGATATAAGCTGAATATTTCTCTTTATTTTTTTGTAGCGAGTGCTACTTCTAGTTGCTGCAGATGTCGATGCCTTGTGCAGCTGTAAAATCCTCCAAGTAAGTATCTTGTAAATGCATTTGGAAGCTATTTTAATGAATTTGTGGGAAGGTCACTAGGCAATCTAGTCTATGAAAGAAATGATTCAAACTTGATCTTTGAATGTAACAATCTCAAGGAGAGGGGAACATTCCATCCTTTCATGGTTCAGATGAAATTCTGAGAAATGGTCAGGAAAACAACATTTTTATTAAGCTGTACTTATTTTCTAGTCCTATATTAATTTGTGACCTTTTGTTGAGTCATGTAGAGATACGAGGAATAGATTGTTCAATAACATATTTGTTTATAGCTCTCTATAGAGTTTTAGCTTGCTTTGATTTCTGGTCTGTAGAAATCCAAGTAAATCCATCTTTACTTTTATGTTATATTTGGGGTTACTGCAGAATTAAAAAAAACTATATGGCTCTGCTATGTTAGGGGGGATTAGTTGGGCTTCCTCTTAAACATCACATTCATTCTTTTAGGCTTTGTTTCACTGTGATCATGTGCAATACACACTAGTTCCAGTGTCTGGATGGCAAGAGCTTGAAACAGCATTTCTTGAACACAAAGATCAGGTAAAAGCATATTTTTTTGAACTCCCGAACTCTTCATTTCTGATAATCTGCACTATGGAACTATCAATGTTCCTCAAAAATACTGTATAAACTCATGTATAAATCGAGAGCAAATTTTGGGACCAACATGATGGACTTTCAGTAATACAGAAATACAGGCATTCCCTGAGTTATAAACATTAGATTTACTTGTGACTTATAGTTAAGAACGGGGGTAAGAGATCAGGAAGTGAGAGAAATCTGCCCCCCCCCCCCCCCCCCCCGGAAGGGAAATTGACTCCTGAAAGAGTTGTTATGGGGATGAGAGCTCTTCCCTGAAGCTTTGTCTCCAATCCTTGTTTCCACAACAAGCCATATTTTTCAAAATCCAGTGATTGCAGGGACAGAAAGTGAGATGAAATCTTCTGAACAGGGACGTAGACAGAACAGAAACACCACAGGGGTCCCTATGTTATCCAAAGCTTATATAGAGAGAGAGGGGGAGGTTGGGGGAGGGGGAGTTCCTGTTCCGACTTACATGCAAATTCAACTTAAGAAAAAATGTACAGAACCTACTTTGTTTGTAACTTGGAGACTGCCTGTAATTACATTTTCTTAGTGTAGTCCCTGGTACTTATAAAGAACTGGGGTTTTAGATTAACTCTAAGAAGACATGAAGCATTCATGTTTTGAATGTGGACTAGCACTTCACAAAAGGGAAATCTTTATGTATAGTTACCTTGTTTGTTTCTAGTTCCAGTATTTTGTTCTGATAAACTGCGGTGCTAACATTGACCTGCTGGATGTCCTTCAACCTGAGGAAGACGCTATATTCTTTGTTTGTGACACTCACAGGCCTATCAACGTAGTCAATGTTTACAATGAGACACAGGTAAATTCTGCTTTACACAATGTAAAATATTGACCTAGTCATACCTGCTGCCATTGCTGGCTGACAAATTCCAGGACCTGTCCAGAACATAGGTTTTCTCTCAACTAAATGAGCGAAATCCCATGAGTAAAATCCCATATGGGTTCCAGGTACCTGATACCAGCAGTATATAAACAAGCTTATTTTACGCTTCTGTCCTTATGGTCTTTACCTCCATTAGCATTGCCCCACCTTAACACTTTTGCAGTAGTTTTTGGTCCTAGAAAACTAGCACTGCTGTGGGTACAGGATCTTACTGTATAACAAATAAAATAAATTTAAATGTTCTAAATACTATACTTTCCTGTTCTCTAAAAGTTTTTATTGTGCATTGCTGTCACCCTTACATTTTTTTTTTTGCTAATGAAATGGAAGCAACAACCACAAAATGAAGTGGAACTTCAAAATGGAAAACATTGTGAAATGCCAACCCTTTCACATACCCTGTATCAGAAATCCTGAACATCTTATAGTTTCCTGGTCAATCTAAATAGCAAAGCTTCCTAGGCAGAGTTGGAGTTTTGAAAACAAAATTTTCCCACATTTTTCATTTGGATTGTTTTTAAGATGCTTCACCCAATTGCACTTTTTTTTTTTTTTTTGCTAGATCAAACTGCTGGTTAAACAAGACGATGAGCTTGAAATCCCTGCCTATGATGATATCTTCAGGGAGGAAGAGGAGGAGGAAGAGGATTCCGGACATGAAAGTGATGGGTCTGAGCCTTCAGGAAAGCGTCGGCGATTTGAAGAGGTTAGAATGAGTTTCAATAAAATGTACCCCAAAAGTTTCTGGGAAATTATTTTATTTTCTGTCAGGTGAAAAATTAAAAATCACCTTTTGTGATTTAGTTGCAACTTCGTTTGTTTCACATAGTTCCCCAAACTGGCAGTTAGTGGTTTTTCAATTTTAGGTTACACAAACTTTGTAGAAAGCGCTTTTTTTTTTTGTAAAAAGCAGTTTTGTTCACTGGAGATGCACCTACATTTCATTTGTGTTGACTTAGAAGATTATTACCTGTGTCAGAGATATTTGAGTGTAAATTGAATTCAAAATAAGGCCTTCACACCACCTGTATTTCATTGAATGATAATCACACCCCCATTTTTGGGGTGACAGAAATTGTATTTTTGTTTTCCTCACATAAAAGTCGCCTCCCCCCCCCCCCCATTTTGGGCTAATTTTCTCTCCCTCCCTCTTTTCCTTCCTTTGTTGGAAGCAAGGCAGTTTAAAAACTACAAAACTGAGGTCTTTGGAGTGCGACTCTTCTCCCCTCCTTCCTTCCTCTGAGGTTTTAAGGCAATTTACAAAACCTGGAATTGAGCTCTTTGGAGAAAAGGGGAAGGAGGGAAGATCTGAGTTCCAGAGACCTCAATTTCAGGTTTTATAAAACTGACTTAAGACCTCGGTGGAAGGAGGGAATAGTGGAGCTCAAGGGCCTCCATTTTATAGCTTTTTAAAGGGAAGAAAGGGAAACTCAACCCCAAATGACTCTGCTGTTTAAAAAATGAAAAAACAGAAACAGCTGTTTTTTGAGGCTGGATCATTCCCCCTCCCCTTTCGGAGGTAAGGCATTTTATTTATTTAAAAACAACAGAAACTGGAGAATAAAGGGAAATCTTTTTTCCTCACATAAAAGTCGCACACCCCTTTTTTGAAAAAAGTTAAAAAGTGTGCATATTATGCGATGAAATCGGTATTTTAAGTATTTGCACCGTTGTCTCATTCTCATTCCCTATAATATAATCCTCCTTGCATCCTTGTCTCTGTATAGGACATAGCAGAAAGAACAATGAAAAGGCGGCAAAGAAGGGAATGGGAGGCTCGCAGGTATGTTTTCATGCTCTGTTGACTTTGTTTTTTTCTCACTTGAAAACTGAGATTGAAAGCTTGATAATATCCACATGGTTTGTACATCATCTGTAATGGGGGATGTCATTTATCTAGTAAATGTTAATGTCTTTGTTATTAAAACCCAGTTGGTAGAAATAGTTGCAAGACCTTTTTATTCAACATTGCATATATAACAGTTACAGAAAAGGAATGCTTTGTTTTCTTTACTTTAGGCAAGAAATTCTTTTTGACTATGAGCAGTATGAATATCATGGAACTTCAGTAAGTATCTAGTGCTTCCGTATATAACTGGCGTTGCCTGGGTATGCATTTTCTTTGCTGTTCTTTCTTTCCTTCCTCTGTTTCTTCATCTTCTTCCCCCCTATCTTTTCTTCCATTCTTCCCTTGTATTTCATCATACACTTTCTGTCCCTCCCTTTCTTTCTTTCTTTTTCTTTTGATCTCTTCCCTTTTTCTTTCTTCCATTCCTTCCTTTGTTCCTTCTTTTTCTCTTTCCTTCTCTAACCTCATACTTTCCCCCCTTTCCCTCCCTCCCTTCTTTCGTTCCTCTCTTTCCTTCCTTCCTCCCTTCCCTTCATACACATGTCATCTAGCAGCAGCCATTCCACTTCACTCCCCAATGAAGGGTCTTTGTGCCAAGAGGTGCTTCTGTGGTACAAACCAACATACATGCATATATACCTTGACTTGAACTGGAAGTATTATTGTATAGTGTAATGAAACCATTACACTACATAACAGATACTTAGATTTACCCTTTTCCCATTTCAAAACAATAGTTAAACCAAAGAGAACACTCATCTTTGCAGTCCTTGAAAGTAACAAAAACAACTGAGATGGAACTGGGCTTTGGATCTTTTCTTGGAAAATCAGTCCATTCATTGTTTTTCCTTTTCTCTCGTAGTCTGCCATGGTGATGTTTGACTTGGCTTGGCTCATGTCCAAAGACTTGAATGACATGTTGTGGTATGTAGTCGTGCTCATGATAGTGGCATTGCTAGCTTGATCCCAGAACTGTCCCAACCTGTATAGAGAATTCTTACTGAAGGGAAAAGAATACACTTCCGGATTTCTTTGTTCTTGCGACCTTTGTAGAATATGAGTCTGTAAACTGTCTGAACACTTCTGAACAGGGAAGATAAGGGTCATGGTCTGACCAGAATTTCTAAAACAATTTTCTTAAGTAAAACTAAACATTGCTTCTAAAGTGTGGTCTGGCTTAGTAAAAGGTAGTCCCTAAGAACGGGAATCAAGCTTGCTGTGTTATCTGATCTGTCAGGTATGCGTGGCAGTTTGGTACAGAGTGCTCCCTGAGTGTTGATGAACTACAACTCCCAAGAATTCAAAAACAGCACCCCCAACTCCACCAATATTCAATGTTGGCCATGTAGGTTGTGTGCCAAGTTTGGTGCAGATTCATTGTGGGATGGGTTCAGAGTGCTCTTTGATTGTAAGTTAGCTATAAATCCCAGCAACTACAACTCCCAAATGACAAAATCAATCGCCCCAACCCCACCAATGTTTGAATTTCGGCGTATCAGGTATTTGTGCCAAATTTGGTCCCAATCCATCGTTGTTTGGGTTTACAGTGCTCTCTGTATGTAGGTGAACTACATCTCCCCTAAATCACTGTTAATTCCTCCCAAATCCCTCTAATATTTTCTGTTGGTCATGGGGGTTCTGTGTTGTAAGTTTGGCCCATTTCTATCATTGGTGGAGTTCAGAATGCTCTCTGATTGTAGGCTGAACTATAAATCCCAGCAACTACAACTCCCAAATGTCAAGGTCTATTTTCCCCAAATTCCACCAGTGTTCACATTTGGACACATTGAGTATTTGTGCCAAGTTTGGTCCGGATCAGTCTTTGTTTGAGTCCACAGTACTCTCTGGATGTAGGTGAACTACAACTCCAAAACTCAAGGCAAATGCCCACCAAACCCTTACAGTTTTTTCTGTTGGTCATGGGAGTTCTTTGTGCCAAGTTTGGTTCAATTGTATCGTTGGTGGAGTTCAGAATGCTCTTTGATTGTAGGTGAACTATAAATCCCAGAAACTACAACTCCCAAATGACAAAATCAATCCCTCCCCAACTCCACCAGTATTCAAATTTGGGCATATTGGGTATTTGTGCCAAATTTGGTCCAGTGAATGAAAATACATCCTGCATATCAGATATTTATATTACCATTCATAACAGTAGTAAAACTACAGTTATGAAGTAGCAACGAAAATAATTTTAATAATAATAAATAATAATAAATAAGTCCCCTCTGGGGTAATAAAGGTGGGGTAGAAATGCCATAAATAAATAAAGTTATGGTTGGGGGTCACCACAACATGAGGAACTGTATTAAGGGATCATGGCATTAGAAAGGTTGAGAAATACTGCTCTAGGTGTTTAGGATCTACAGCTTAAACCCATATTTCAGTTCAGGAATCTGACTTGATATTGATTGGAAAGAGGAAGACAATGTTTCATGGGCATAACTTAGTGTAACTGAAATACTATTATTTGAAGTATTTAGAATTTCCAGTGCCCTTTGTGAATCTGTACACTACTCAGCATGAACAGAGATTATTCACAAATACCATCTTCTCCCTTTGTTTGTTTTTTTAGGTGGTCTATTATTGGACTAACAGATCAGTGGGTCCAAGACAAAATTACTCAGTAAGTTAGCAGCAAACAACCCATTTTATGTTCTGTTTTCATTTTTAATTTCTTACTCACTTTCAGTGATGGGACCAAAAGTAAAGGTAAAGGTTTCCCGATTCGAACCACCAACCTTTCAGTTAGCATGTTTGGCAGCTCAGTGGTTTAAACCGCTGCGCCAACAGGGGGCCCTGGGACCAAAAGTAGGATATAGATATTGGAAGTATGCCATAATTATAGCTGATCATACAGCTGTTTCATTGTCGGTCACCTAATTTTTTAAAAAAATTGCACTCTGTCAAATTATTTTGGGAATCCATTGCAACCTTTTGCCAATCTTCCCCAAATGGCATTTGAGCCAGCAATATAGTCCTGATGTCAGAGAATCTGAAGCAGATATTGTGTAACTCTTCTCTTTCTCCAAAGAATGAAATATGTAACAGACGTTGGGACCCTGCAACGTCACGTGTCCCGGCACAACCATCGCAATGGGGACGAAGAGAACTCGCTTTCCATTGACTGCATGCGGATAGCATTTGAATATGAGTATCCTTCTCTAGAATGCTGGGGAAAGCAATCATGGCTTGCGGGGATGGTTTGTAGCTGTCAACATTTTATTTCGAGCATATGCGTCAGGAAAGTGGGTTTTGGATTTAGATGCAGAACTTGTGGATATGATGCCTGATGTTGAAACATATTTTAGCCGTTACCTAACCTCAAATCCACCAGTGCTGTTGGGCTGCAGTTCCCATTATCCCCAGCTCGCATGGTGGATCATCAAAAGTGAAGAGAGTTCTTGTTCAATAACATTGGGGGCACCCACCACTATGTCAAAGAATTATAGTTGGCCCTCTGTCTTCATGGATTCTCCATCCATGGCTTCAAAGTAACCAGAGGTCTGATGTGGTCCTCGGTGAGAATTAGTTTAACACCCCTGATTTAGAGCCTGTTCAATTGATATTATTTTCGTGACAGTGAAACAGAGGAAATCATTTTGAAATGGAATATGTATAGCTACAGTTTCATCCAATCTGCTACAATTATTTTTCCTCATTCCTGCTGGCCTTAGCCTGTGCCTTGCACTCTACCAGCACTGGTCTCTCTATGAAAGCCTCTGCAACACCTCTTACACTTCGGCCAGCTTCAAGCTTTGGTCCGTTCAAGGCCAGAAGAAACTGCAGGAGTTCCTTGCGGACATGGGGTGAGTTCAGTAGAAGGGTGTGCTTTGACTGGTACCGTCGCTACCTATCTCCAATTACAGGGGGATAATTGGGCATTCCAAGGAGGTTGTTGCAAGGAGGTTAACAAAGAGGAGAGGAGAATGGGGCTGGATTCGGTTAGACATGCCTTGAAGTGCCATGATTTCACATGGCAGGAAGTCTCCTGACCTTCAGTTGCTGTGGTTGGCTTTCAGCCCATGAGTGTTAGAAGTCAACCACATCCTGCACAGGTTTATAGTCCTCATCAAGGAAATAGGCAGGTAGCTGGTAGGGAAAGCCCTTCCCCCATTGCCTCTTTGTCTGCCTCTCTCCCTTTCTTTCTCTGCTGTTTGTTAGACTGATACTTCTCAGGGACATGCCTCTTTTTCTTCAGAGTTTCTAGCCACATGGCAAGTCTCTGAATCTTCCCTTTGTTCTCCTATGAGCATGGAGTGAGAAAAGATGTCCCCAGAGAGCTAGATAGTTAGGCCCTAACCTTCCTATAGAGAAATGTAGTTACTTGAATAAAGTCTTCTGTAAGTTTTAAAGCCTGACCCAGCTCTGCTCCTTGAGAAAGGAAAGCTGAAGCTTTCTCTCTACTGCTAGCTCAGGTTGCTCCTGTTCTGCTAAAATTGCTGCTGCTGCTTCTCTTTTGAAATGCTTTTTCTCTTTTGAAATTACCCAACAATGAGATTGTTCATACTTCAATACTGTTTGTGTTTAATTCTATTTTAATGTGTATATTTGTAGGTTTTTCATGGTATTGTATTGGTTTTGTTGTGAGCCACTTTGGGTCTTTTTTAGAGAGAAAAGGCAGGACATCTATGCACATAATAAAACTTTTTATTTCATGTCAGGAGCAATTTGCGTTTTCTCAAGTCACACCTGACATGAAAAAAAAAACCTTTTTTAGGAGCAACTTGAGAAACTGCAAATCACTTCTAGTGTGAAATAATTGGCCGTTTGCAAGAATGTTGCCCAAGGAACGCCTAGATGTTTTACCATCCTTTTTGGAGGCTTTTCTCATGTCTCCACATGGGGAGGTGGATCTGACAGAGGGAGATCATCTGCACTCTCCCCGGATTCAACAAGGGCTGTTGGGTTCAGTCCTGCCGGCACAAGGGTTAACCCATTGCACCACCGGGCACAAAAAAACCCCAAAACTTCATAATCAAGAAGGAAGTTGTCAGCAGCTTTTATTACTAGGTAGGAGCTCACAGAGCCCATGAAATTCTAAACACTTTTAAGAGTGGAGGGCTACTTCCAGGGTCACTCCATAGATAAAGACTAGATGGAACCAACTATCATCAATATTTCAAGTGCCAGTCCTTGGAAATTCATCAGGCATACATTGAATTTGTATTAGAGACACAGTGTCCCTCCTTTCCTGAATACCAACCCTTGGAGAAATGAAAGATACTAAGTGATGTAGTGTCCTTCCTGCCTTAAGAAAGGAAAGCTAGAAGCCATATAATTAAATTACATATGAGACTCAGGTATCCACTCTTATCTTCAATGCCAGTCCTTGGGGAAAGCAAAGATTGAAATAATCTAATTAAGTTACATAAGAGATGCAGTTGTTTACCCTGGTCCAAAGATGACGATGTTTCATGGGAAAGGGTGGGCTGCAAAGGGAGATTGGAAAGAAATGAAATACATATTCTGTTTTGTGCCTTGCCTTGTATAAGAAGTGGCAATCGAAAAGGGTAGAATTGCTGTAGGAAGACGGGTAAAGCAAAGGCAGCCATGATTGTGGTACAAAAGGGGAATTATTGAATACACAGAAGGGAAGCAACTTCAATAGGATCATCTAAAACACGTTTCAAACTCAAGACCCACAGGTCAAATCTAGCTTTCCATGTCATTTGATGTGGCCCTCAAGATGCTGAATGACTACAACTTCACATTATTATGACTAGTGTTGATGGGGGTTGTGGTACTGTAAGACCGGAAAGACTGCAGTTTGTACTGTTGGGTCAAGAGAAGGGGGTTGGATTAGCAAGGGGGTTGGATTAGTTGGCTTGTGGATCTGATGTCCGGCTTTAACATGTTCTTTAACTCTTCTCCAACCTCAGGGTTGCCATTCCCATCATCCCCAGTCCCCAAGGCAGATAATCAAAAGAGATGAGAGTTGACATTCATTGACATCTGGGGCCCCAAACTGGGTAAAAACTAAAGAGCACCAACCACTACGTGAAACAATATTGTAGTTGGTCCCCTATATCCACAGATTCTCTGTCCATGGATTGAGTGGCCCTTTGAAAACAACCATAAGGCTGAGGTGACCTCTATGAAAATATATATGTAAAATGTTGTAAAATAGAGAAGAAGCAGGAGGTTTTTGTCTGTCTTCGAGGAGTGGAGCTTGAACAGTGCACACCAGGTTTTGTGATATCAGGTAGGAAGAAGACTTAGCATGGTTTGAGTGTTGGACTACTGTTCTGGAGACCCAAGTTGGAATCCACTCTTGGCCATTATAACCCATTGGCCCTGGGCAAGTCCCCTTTTTTCAGCTTTAGAGGAAGGCAAATGCAACCCCTCCTGAAGAAATCCTGCCATGAAACCCATTGATAGGGTTACTGTAGGTCAGAAACTGTTTGAAGACACGCAACAATAATCAATGGTTGGTTGTGTTAAGCAAAATTCGGTTTGCTTTCCCCTGAACTGCTTTGAATCTTTCCTTCTCCAACAATGTCTTGCAGAGAGTATTGACATTTCTAGGCAGCATTGGGAACATCCTTTCTGAAATCCAGGAGAGCACGGTCACGTCTTTTCCAAAGTGTCATCAAAGGAGGATCTTGGAGGTTGCTCAGCCACCAGGATGTGCCCAGGAGCCATTAGGCTATCTTTATTAACATTACCCTTCTATTTCTTCTTCAGATTACCTCTGAAGCAAGTAAAGCAGAAGTTCAACTCGATGGACATTTCCTTGAAAGAGAACTTACGGGAGATGATTGAAGAATCTGCAAATAAGTTTGGGTAAAACAGGTTTCTTATTGATTTTTTTCTAATATGGTGAAGATGGTGAGGTGAAGAAGAAACTCACCCTCAGTAAGGGGCGAGTTTCTGCTTCACCCTGTATATTTCTTCTAAACCAGTAACTCTGAGTTGTTGTTATGTTTATTTATACTCCACTTTTTTCTCTCCACAAAGGAGGCTCTTTAGCCCTCCAGATGTTTTGGACCTCACCTTCCAGACTTTCTGGCCACTGTTGTTTCTGATTAGGACTTCTAAAAGTCAGAGTCCAAAGGATCTGAAGGGTAAAGGGTTATTTTATTTTATTTTGGTCAATGGAGAACCAGTTTTCTAGCTGTCCAGCTCCTGAACCGATCCTAAATATCTGAAAGGTCAATGGCTGAGAACCACTTTTCCAACCGCCCAACTTCTGAGCAGATTTTTTGTATGATGTAAGAATGTTATATACACTGCAACTGATTTTATGGAAGCCGGTGACAGAAAAGCCTCAGAATATCAAAAAAGAAGAGTGTAATCAGTGGGAAGAGAAAAAGAGCACAAGGAAGTATCTTGGGAAAGAGTGTATATTCTGTGTCTCACCAAGAGCAGTCTCGGTTAGGAGGGTTAAAAGGCCCCATCTACACTGAGCCAAGAACTAAAATCCTGGGGCCTATTCTTTATCTCCTTCAAACCAATACTGTGTCAAGAAAATATTTTCTATCTCTTGGCTGACACTAACCCTGTGGTTACTCACAAGGTGTCTTTTTTTGCCCTGGCAGCACAGAAAATTCAGGCAAGATTAATTTCTGATATTGCAGCTGACTGTGCTGGGGATGCTTTTAATTAATAGTGGCTGTTTATATCCAAGATGTTCCCTGCTTAAGTTTTAATAATACTGTATTTATTTGGTTTTACTTGTTTTTTAATTACATAGGTGCTAGTTCATGGAGTATGTAGTATTTTAAGGGTGCATCTCGCCATTGATATATGTAGCGTTTTAATGATTCATAGGATTTTAATAGTGTATTTTATATTGTATTTAATAATCTGGTTTTCATGTATTTATTTGTTTGCCTTATATGTGAAAGACCTATGGTCTAAGCATCGAATAAACTTGGATTTACCACTGCCATTATAATGCAGATTGAACTGCCTTAAATGGCCAGTGTAGCGTGTATAATGCAGTTCAATCTGCTTTACAATTGCAGTGTAGATGGGGCCAAAGTTCTAAATGTTAACTTTATATATAAACAAAGGCATGGAAAGCTATTGAACCTTATAGAAAGAGGTTTGTGAAGTAGTGTGCTCATCAGAATGACAACTAGACACTTGTTTCTAGCTATAAATCTACCTGGTGTTGGATAATTTCAAAAAAGAAAAAAGGCATTTAAAAATATAATCAGCAGTAATAGCAGCAGTTTTAGAATATCAGAAGCTCCTTGAGCCTAGCAGTATTTACTTATTTGTTTGTTTGTTTATTTACTGTATCTATATATAGTACCACCTTTCTCACCCCTGGGGGGGGGGGGGGCTCAAGGCGGTTTGCCACATACTAATGGCAAAATTCAATGCCAACATACAGTACACAAATCATAATAACTAATTACTACATATAACTATGAATTTAAAATCAATCAAAACTATTGAAGATAAGACATACATAAAATTTAAACATTCAGACAAAGTACAATATCATCCTAGTATAAACATTGAAATCCCATGATCCAGAAATCGTGTACCATAGCCATTCCGAATTTTCATTGCACGTGTTCCTTAATTATGATTTGTATTGCATTATTCATTAACCAAAGGCTTGATCCCACAACCACGTCTTTGTTCTCTTTCTAAAGGTCAGGTGGGAGGGTGCTGATCTAATCTCACTGGGAAAGGAGTTCCAGAACTGAGGAGCCACCACTGAGAAGGCCCTGTATCTTTTCCCCACCAACTGCACTTGCGACAGAGGCGGGACTGAGAGAAGGGCCTCCCCAGATGAGAAGCTCATTTGCAGCAAATGAGCTTCAGCATTTTCTATACAGGAAAGTTAGGGCCTATCTATCTAACTATATCTCTGAGAACAAAGGGGCTTGCCATGTGGCCGATTCAAAAGAGGCGTGTCCCTGAGGCCCCTTATACACAGTCCTTATTTTCCAGGATCTGATGCCAGATTATCTGTTTATCCCAGATTATATGGCAGTGGAGACTCATATAATCCAGCTCAAAGCAGACAACCCGATATCAGATCCTGGAATATAAGGACAGTATAGAAGGGGCCTGAGAAGTATCAGTCTAACAAACAGAAGAAATAGCTGCCGAGAAAGAGAGACAGAGAGGCAGGACGGGGTTGAGTTCCAACACCTAAATGGGATGCAGTCCTACTTGCCCATTGAGACTTACTTCTCAATGATTGCCCGCAAAGGAGAAGGCTGAGAGGACACACGATGAGGGCCATGGATATATATATGAGGGGAAGTCATAGGGAGAAGGAAGCAAACTTGTTTTCTGCTGCCCTGGAGACTAGGACGCGGAACAGTGGCCAAACTACAGGAAAGAAGATTCCACCTGAACATTAGGAAGAACTTCCTAACTGTGTGAGAGAGCTGTTCAGCAGTGGAACTCTGTGCCCCGAAGTGTGGTGGAGGCTCCTTTGGAGGCTTTTTAAAGAGGCTGGATGGCCATCTGTCGGGGGTGCTTTGAATGGGATTTTCCTGCTTCTTGGCAGGGGGTTGGACTGGATGGCCCATGAGGTCTCTTCCAACTCAATGATTCTATGATTCTGTGATTGAAATCCTTATTAACTCGCTAGAAATTCTCAGTGACTACAGCCATCGTATTTTTAAAAAAAAATAATTTAAATGACTCCTTTTGGTAATTTAATTTATTTTTTCCAGAATGAAAGATTTGAGAGTGCAAACCTTCAGCATTCATTTTGGTTTTAAGCATAAGTTTTTAGCAAGTGACATGGTGCACGCCGTGGCTGCTTTGATGGAGAATGCAGAGGACGAAAGCGGGACTGATAACTTTATCAAGGCGCTAGATAGCCTATCCAGGTAAGATCCACATTTTCCCCCAAAACCTTTCAAACCATTAAATGACTTTTTCGTTTCAGAATATAAATACAAACGTAAGAATACGTTTTGTGCAATGCACTTTGTTTAGAAAGGGAATTGCCTTGAAAGAGCAATGGTTGATCTATAAAGATCTGTTACTGAAGGATGACTAATACAAATTAAAGATGAGAGAGGAGTTATTACTAGAGGGCTTCTCAATGCAATGGTTTGCTTACTGACAAACTACAGAACAATTTAAGATGAGCCAGCATATGTTTGGATTTGTAACTTGAAACCGTTCTAGATAGGGAGATGCCAAGTTACATAAAATGTTGTTGAAATATGAAGTGGAGGAGGAACATGAGAAAGATTGTTTGATTCAATGGGAGCAAAACATTGACAGACAAATACAGATGGAACAAGTCTGAAACACTGAGCAATGACTTGAAAGAAAACTCTTATATGATGATGTATAGAAGGTATTTGACACCAGATGTATAAAAGTAGCTCAAGTAATAGATGGAAATGTGGGGAAAATGTTGGTACATTGTAAAAAGGCCCAGAAAGACTGGGTGCAATTATATCTGGTTCTAGAAGAAGCTGATCAAGTTAAAATTGTGATAAAACCTGAAGTCTTATTTGCTATGGATGTTAGATGATCAACATGAGAAAAATGTGCAAGAATAATGTTAGATATTTATTTATCGTTATCAGAAGCAAATTGAGAATACAGTTATAATGTATAAAAACCCACAAAGTTAAAAATTTGGCATTATATGTCCTTTGACCAGAAGATGGCCACTTGGAGTGCCTCTGGTGTTGCTGTAAGAGGTCCTCCATTGTGCATGTGGCAGGGCTCAGGCTGCATTGTAGTAGGTGGTCTATGGTTTGCTCTTTTCCATACTCGCATGTTGTGGACTCCACTTTGTAGCCCCATTTATTAAGGTTGGCTCTGCGTCTCGTGGTGCCAGAGCACATTTGTTCAGTGCCTTCCAAGTTGCCCAGTTTTCTGTGTGCCCAGGGGTGAGTCTTTCATCCGGCATCAGCCACAAATTGAGGTTCCGTGTTTTGTCTTGCCACTTTTGGACTCTCACTTGCTGAAGTGTTCCTGCAAGTATCTCTGTAGATCTTAGGAAGCTGTTTCTTGATTTAAGGCATTGGCATGCTGGCTGATATCCGAACAGAGGATGGGCCGGAGATGTCCATGCCTTAGTCCTTTCATTATTGTAACACATCCAGGCGTCCCCTGGACAACGTCTTCATAGATGGCTGATTCTCTCACGCTAGAAGCGACTTGCAGCATGCAACCAACCAACAAACAAAGCAACTGACCTTTTTAGGACCAACTGTGACTATAATCTCAGTCAATATCGAAGACATGTCAGCTGCCAAAGAATAGCTGCTTTATTAACTGTGCTGAAATAAGAAATGTAGCATTCCGTGTGCCCAAGAAACACAGGAATAAACAATAGAAATGACCAAAAGTTCCAGGAATAATCTTAGTGGCAGAAAGATCACATGTTCAGTATGGAAGCGCTGTCCTTGTAAAACCAGGACTCCAAGTCAGCAGTGCCCATAACACTTAAGAAAACAATATAGAGGTTTGGTTGCTGTGAGTTTTCTGGGCTGTCTGGCCATGTTCCAGAAGTCTTTATCTCCTGACATTTTGCCCATGTCTGTGGCAGGCATCCTCAGAGGTTGAGGGGTCTGTTGGAAACTAGGCAAGCTGGGTTGATTTTTGAGTTTTTAAAAACTGGACACAGCATATTCTTTGAGAACACAAATGCTGGACCAGTCTAATAACTACCATGTCAGACTACAAAGAGAAGCCATTGAAATCCACAAGCATGTGGACAATTTCAACAGAAAGGAGGAAACCATGAAAATGAACAAAATCTGGCTACCAGTATTAAAGACTCGAAAATCAGGACAGTAAATAAAGAGCAACACTCAAAAAGCAGAGAGATTCCAGACAAGAATCCATCAGGACCAGTTAACACCACCCAACAAAGGATTCCCCCCCAGGCAGCAATCAATTTATTTATTTATTTATTTATTTATTTATTTACTTCATTTGTTAACCGCCGCTCTCAGCCCTGGAGCGACTCGCGGCGGTGTACAACATATAAAAACAGTCTACAAAAACATACAATGAATCGACAACCAAATTACACATTAATCTAAACACAATAATAAATCCGCGCCATCAACATAGAGAACATAGCCAATCTCATAATCCAAGGTCCATTCCAGATGTCATTACCAAATTCGTGTGGGTCTCAATTGAATGCCTTCCCGAATAGCCAGGTCTTTAGGCTCTTACGGAAGACATAAGGGAGGGCGCCTGTCTGATGTCAACAGGGAGGGCGTTCCACAGCCGGGGGGCCACCACTGAGAAGGCCCTCTCTCTCGTCCCCGCCAGGCGTGCCTGTGAGGCGGGCGGGATCAAGAGAAGGGCCTCCCCAGATGATCTCAAGGCCCTCGTGGGCTCATAGGCCGAGATGCGGTCCGAAAGGTATTTTGGGCCGGAACCGTTTAGGGCTTTGTAGGATAACACCAGCACCTTAAATTGGGCCCGGTAGCAAATCGGCAGCCAGTGGAGCTGGGACAACAAGGGCGTTGTGTGCTCCCTGCGTCCCGCTCCGTTAGTAACATGGCTGCCGCGCGCTGGACTAGCTGAAGCTTCCGGGCCGTCTTCAAGGGCAGCCCCACGTAGAGAGCGTTGCAGTAGTCAAGGCGGGATGTGACCAGAGCGTGTACCACCGTGGCCAAGTCAGACTTCCCAAGATACGGGCGCAGCTGGCGCACGAGCCTAAGCTGTGCAAATGCTCCCCTGGTCACCCCTGAAACCTGGGGATCCAGGCTCAAGGATGAATCCAGGGTCACACCCAAGCTGCGAACCTGCGCCTTCAAGGGGAGTGCGACCCCGTCCAGCACAGGCTGTAACCCTATACCCTGTTCGGCCTTGCGACTGACCAGGAGTACCTCTGTCTTGTCTGGATTTAATTTCAGTTTGTTCGCCCTCATCCAGCCCATTACAGCGGCCAGGCACCGGTTCAGGACCTCGACAGCCTCCTTAGTAGCAGGTGGAAAGGAGTGACAGAGTTGGACATCATCCGCATACAGATGACACCGTAACCCGAAACTCCGGATGATCTCACCCAGCGGCTTCATGTAGATATTAAACAGCATGGGGGACAGTATAGAGCCCTGTGGAACCCCACAGGACAAAGGCTGTGGTGTTGAACAGCAGTCCCCCAATAACACCTTCTGGGTACGACCCTCCAGAAATGACTGGAGCCACTGCAGAGCAGTGCCCCCAAGACCCATTTCCGCAAGGCGCCCCAGAAGGATACCGTGGTCGACGGTATCGAAGGCCGCTGAGAGGTCCAGGAGCACCAACAGGGACACACTCCCCCTGTCTAGCTCCCGGCGCAGATCATCCACTAAGGCGACCAAGACCGTCTCGGTACCATGTCCCGGTCTGAAACCAGACTGTGCCGGATCCAGAATATCCGTGTCTCTCAAGAATACCTGGAGTTGTGAGGCCACCACGCTTTCCATGACTTTGCCCAAGAAGGGGAGATTGGAAACAGGCCGAAAGTTGTCGAATTTAGTGGGGTCCAATGATGGTTTCTTCAACAGCGGTTTTATAATTGCTTGTTTTAAGCACGCTGGAATCTTGCCTTCCCGAAGGGAGGCATTAACCACCACTGTTACCCACTCAGCCAATCCCCCTCTGGCCTCTTTCAGAAGCCAGGAAGGGCAGGGGTCTAGGATGGACGTGGTAGGCCTCATTCCTCCAAGTATCTTGTCCACATCCTCGGGTTTCACAAACTGAAAAGAATCCAACAAAATAGGACAAGCAGGTGCTCGTGTCACATCCACAGAGACTGCCTTTAACATGGTGTCCAGCTCAGAACGGATCAAAGCGACTTTGTCTGCAAAGAACCGAGCAAATGCTTCACAGCGCGTGACCGAATTGTCAGGGCTCCCGCCTGAAGTGGCGGGAGTTAAAAGACCTCTGACAATCCGAAACAACTCCGCCGGACGGTTCTTTGCAGACGCAATAGTGGCCGCAAAGAAAGTTTTCTTTGCGGCTTTTATTGCCGCGGCATATGCCCTTAAAAAGGACACAAACCGTGCTCGATTTGGCTCGCTTGGGTCTGAACGCCACACGCTCTCCAGTTCCCTCTTCCTTCGCTTCATCACTGCCAGCTCCTCAGTAAACCAAGGGGCTGGTTTAGCTCGGCTACTTGAGAGGGGACGTTCCGGAGCGATCGTGTCAATTGCCCTGGTCATCTCCCCATTCCAGAGAGCGACCAAGGCCTCGACAGGGTCACCTACCGCGGAGGCGGGAAAATCCCCAAGAGCCGTCAGGAATCCGTTCGGATCCATAAGCCTCCTGGGGCGGACCATCTTAATGGGTCCTCCACCCTTGCAGAGGTTAGGGGGTGCAGTAAGCCTAAATCTGATCAGGAAGTGGTCAGTCCATGGCAACGGAGAGATAGACAACTCCTCCACACCGCCACCCTGCTCCCATCCCTGGCAGAAAACCAAGTCCAATGTGTGTCCAGCACAGTGGGTGGGGCCAGATATTTGTTGGGACAGCCCCATGGTTGCCATGGGAGACATGAAGTCCTGAGCCACTCCTGTGAGGGTCGCCTCGGCATGGATATTGAAGTCTCCCAGCACCAAAACCGTTGAGACTCCAACGCCAGGCTCGAGACTACCCCCGCTAGCTCAGGTAGGGAGACTGTAGTGCAGCGAGGTGGACGGTACACTACGAGAATCCCTATTCTGTCCCGGTCACCCACCTTTAGGTGGACACATTCAAAATTCAATCAACCAGGCTTTGAAGCTGCAAGATCATTCAGTGCTAATCAAGGTGGCCAATTGTAACACTCACACTTGCCTCAAGCAGGCAAGAGTTCTTTCTCCCACCCTGAACATTCCACAGATAAATAAATGCCACTTGCCTAGCTTCCAACAGACCTCACAACCTCTGAGGATGCCTGCCATAGATGTGGGCGAAACGTCAGGAGAGAATCCTTCTGGAACATGGCCATATAGCCTGGAAAACTCACAGTATCCCAGTGATTCTGGCCATGAAAGCCTCCAACAACACAATATAGAGGTGATAACAGTAGAGCTTAGTAACAGCACGATTACCTCTATGTACAAGCTCTCAAATGAATAGTTCTGTTTCTCCTCTCCTGAGAACTTTGATAGGCACCAAAGGGTGGTAGCAATTGCTTACTTTAACAGCCATAGCCATGTATGTGGCTTTGCTCAGGAGGATAAAAATGAAGAGGCTGTCCTTTCCTGGGCTGAATTGCATAAGCTATCGCTTATTCATGATAGTAAGCTTCCACCATCCTACAACAGTGGGAGATGGTACCAAGGATGTTAGATATGACCTGTTGGAACTCAACCCCATCCTGCACAAGTTTATAGTCCTCATCAAGGAAATAGGCAGATGAGAAGTTGGCAGGGAAAAGCCCTGTCCCTTTTGCCCTCTATGGAGAGAGACAAAATGTCTCCAGAGAGCCAGATAGTTAGATAACTAGGACCTACCTTTTCTATACAGAAATGTAGTTCTTTCATTAAAGTCTTTTGTAACTTTTAAAGCTTGACTCTATTCCTGTGTTGCTGAAACTCATTCGCTCTACTGCTAGGCTCAAGAAGCTTCTGATCTGCTAAAACAGCTGTTGTTGCTGATTTACATTTTCAATGCATTTCCCTTTTTTGGAATTACCCAACGCTAGATGGATTTGGTATGGAGAGAAACATGATGTTTGCTCTGGGTTAGATAGATAGGCCTCTGACTGTTCTATATAGAAATGTGGGTCTTTCACTAGAGTCTTTTATAATTTTTCAAGCTTGACTCTGCCCCTGTCTTGCTGAAGCTCAATTGCTCTAATGCTAGAAGCTTTGGATCTGCTAGAACTGCTGCTACTCCTGTTGTTGCTGATTGACATTTTAAATACTTTTTCTTTTTTTTGAAATTAGAGCAGGATTATTATCTTCTCTATTAAAGCAGTGCCCTTATTTTCCCCCTTTTTCAGGAGCAACCTGGACAAGTTGCATCAAGGTCTGGAGCTTGCCAAAAAGCAACTCTGTGCCATTCAGCAGACGGTCGCCAGCTGCATCTGCACCAACCTGGTCATCAACCAGGGCCCTTTTCTTTACTGCTACCTCATGGAGGTAAGCATGGACTTGCTCTTATTTCTTGGTCCCATTTTGGACTTGAACGGCTCTGTCTGTCTCTATATATATTTGTTCCATGCATTAAAACAAACCGTAAAAGATAAGTCAAATGGAAGTTTAGACAGGAAAATAAAATTTCTAAAAGTTTGAGAGTTAAAGACAGTATTAAATATTTGTATATTTGAATCGCAGCGATAAAAAGCTGAGATAAAATTATGGAACCTTTTAAGGTTTTGGCATAATGTCATGGAATCCTGGGAGTTCTAGGTCTTTAGTCTTCTCTGCCGGAGAGGACTGGCACTTCGCCAAAATGGATTAATTCTACATAGGGAAAATGGGAAATTGCAGCTAAATGTGCCTTTATTTACAAAATATTCATTACAAAATTTGACAAAATATTCTCTATCTGTTGTATATCTGAAAGTATAAAACATGCTTATATAAATATGTGCATATATAATATGAAATATAATCTATATCTATACATATAATAAAACTCAAAGTTTGTATGCGGTGGACAAAAGTGTGGCGGTGTGGCGGGAGGAGTATGTGCCAGCGTTCTGATTCGCTGCCGTTGTGGTGCTATTTGCATATGGTCTCTGATTGGCCAGCTTCAATAGGAGCCCCTGGTGGAGAAAAGAGTTCATGACAGAAACGGAGACATGAAAAGGAAATTTGCATATGGTCTCTGATTGGCCAGCCACAATTCCAAGATTCCGAGAAGACAAAGAGAGGAAAGGAAAAGGCCAGGGGCTAGGTCAGAAAATTACCAATACAGACCAAACTTGGCACACAAAGCCCCCATGACCCACTTGACATCCTACTGCAGTTTGGAGGAGGATGAACCATGGATGATGGGACTTGCAGTACCATCACTCACTTTCTGAGACCACTGTGACCCTCATCCAATGACTGATCAAGACCAAAGTTGGCGCACAGAGCCCCCACGACCCATTCTCCATTCTGGTGCAGTTTGGAGGAGGATGGGCCACAGATTATGGGACTCACATTACCTTCACTAACATCCTGAGACCACTGTGAGCCATATAAATAACTGATTAAGACCAACCTTGAGATACAAATCCTTTCTCAAATAACCCTGGCAGTGCCGGGTCCCCAAGCTAGTATATAATAAAAGTCAAAGTTTGTATGCGAAGGACGGAAGTGCGGAGGGCAGAAGTGCAGAGGGCAGAAGTGCAGAGGGCGGACGTGTTTGTGGCAGCTTTCCGATTGGCCAGCCTGAAAGTTCCAAGATTCTGATTGGCTGCCGCTGTAGTGCTATTTGCATATGGTCTCTGATTGGCCAGCTTCATAGGAGCCCCTGGTGGAGAAAAGGGTTCATGACAGAAACGGAGACATGAGAGAAGGACATTTGCATATGGTCTCTGTGGCAGCTTTCCGATTGGCTGCCACTGTGGTGCTATTTGCATACGGTCTCTGATTGGCCAGCTTCAATAGGAGCCCCTAGTGGAGAAAAGAGTTCATGACAGAAACGGGGACATGAGAAGGAAATTTGCATATGGTCTCTGATTGGCCAGCCTCAATTCCAGGATTCCGAGATGACAAAGAGAGGAAAGGAAAAGGCCAGGGGCTCTGTCTGAAAATTACCAATACAGACCAAACTTGGCACACAGAGCCTGCAAGACCCACTCTACATCCTACTGCAACCATGGATGATGGGACTTGCAGTGCCATCAGTCACATTCTGAGACCGCTGTTAACCTCATCCAATGACTGATCAGGACCAAATTTGGCACATAGACCTCTCATGACCCACTTTACGTCCAGGTGTGGTTTCGCCGGGGATGGGCCATGGATTATGGGACTTGAAGTACCTTTGCTCAATTCTTGAGACCACTGCAACCCTCATCCAATTACCGATAAAGACCAAACTTGGCACACTGAGTCTCCATGACGCACTCTACATCCTGGTGCAGTTTGGAGGATGCACCATGGACGATGGGACTTGCAATACCTGCACTCCCTTCCTAAGACCATTACAACTGCCAACAATGATGGATCAGGACCACAATTCACACAGAGAGCCCGCATGACCCACTCTACATCCTGGTGCGGTTTGGAAGAATTTGGAGATGGATGATGGGACTTGCAGTAACTTCACTCACTTCCTGAGACCACTGACACCCTCACCAATGACTGATGAAGACCAAATTTGGCACACAGAGCCTGCATGACCCACTCTACATCCTGGTGCAGTTTGGAAGAATTTGGCAATGGATGATGGGACTTGCAGTCACTTCATTCACTTCCTGAGACCACTGCGACCCTCGCCAATGACTGATCAAGACCAAACTTGGCACACAGAGTCCCCATGACCCACTCTACATCCTGGTGCACTTTCCAGGAGGACAGACCATGGATGATGGGACTTCAAGTACCTCCACTCCCTTCTCAAGATGGCTGCAACTCTCATCTAATGTCCAATCAAGACCAAACTTGACACACAGAGCCCCCATGACCCACTCTACATCACGGTCCTGTTTGATGGAAGATGGATGATGGGACTTGCAGTACCTTCACGTACTTCCTGAAACCACAGCGTCACTCAGCCAAATAACAAGAAAGACCAAACTTGGCACACTGAGCCCCCATGACCCACTCTCTATCCTGGTGCAGTTTGGAGGAGGATGGACCACGGATGATGGGACTCACAGTACCTTCACTAACTTCCTGAGACCACTGCGAGCCATATAAATAAGACATAAAGACCAATCTTGATACACAGTGCCTTTCTCAAATAACCCGGGCAGCGCCGGGTCCCCAAGCTAGTATATAATAAAATATACACTATACTGGTAATATGACATATTATATTATAATATAATGTAATATAATACAATATATAGTACAATCTATGTATATAATAAAAGTCAGTGTTTGTATGTGGAGGGCGGAAGGAGAACGTAGGGCGGAGGGAGGTGTATGTGGCAGCTTTCTGATTGGCTGCCACTGTGGCACAATTTGCGTATGGTCTCTGATTGGCCAGCCTCAAAACTCCAAGATTCTGAGGTGACAGAGGAGAGGAAAAGGCCTTAGTCTGTGTCAGAAAATTACCAATACAGACCAGACTTGGCACACAGAACCCGCAAGACCCACTCTACACCCTACTGCAGTTTGGAGGAGGGTGGACCATGGATGATGGGACTTGCAGTACCATCACTCACATTCTGAGACTGCTGTGACCGTCAGACCAAACTTGGCACACAGAGCCCCCATAACCCAGTCTACATCCTGGTGCTGTTTGGAGGAGGATGGACCATGGATGATGGGACTTGCAGTACTTTCACTCACTTCCCGAGACCACAGTAACATTCATCCAATTACCAATAAAGACCAAACTTGGCAATGGAGCCCCCATAACCCACTCTACATCCTATTGCAGTTTGGAGGAGGATGGAGGATGGATGATGGGACTTGTAGTACAATCCCTCACTTTCTGAGACTGCTGTGACCTTCATCCAATGACTGATCAAGAGCAAACTTGGCACATAGACCTCTCACAACCCACTTTATGCCCTGGTGTGGTTTGGCCACGGATGCACCATGGATTATGGGGCTTGCAGTACCTTTGCTCAATTCCTGAGACCACTGCAATCCTCATCCAATTACCGATAAAGACCAAACTTGGCACACTGAGTCTGCATGACACACTCTACATCCTGATGCAGTTTGGAGTAGGATGCACCATGGACGATGGGACTTGCAATACCTGCACTCCCTTCCTGAGACCATTACAACTGCCAACAATGATGGATCAGGACCACAATTCACACAGAGAGCCCGCATGACCCACTCTACATCCTGGTGTGGTTTGGAAGAATTTGGAGATGGATGATGGGACTTGCAGTAACTTCACTCACTTCCTGAGACCACTGACACCCTCGCCAATGACTGATGAAGACCAAATTTGGCACACAGAGCCCCCATGGCACATTCTACATCCTGGTGCACTTTCGAGGACAGACCATGGACGATGGGACTTCAAGTACCTCCACTCCCTTCCCAAGACTGTTGCAATCCTCAGCTAATGACCAATCAAGACCGAACTTGGCACACAGAGCCCCCATGAGCCACTCTACATCCCGGTGCTGTTTGGAGGAGGATGGATAATGGGACTTGCAGTACCTTCACTCACTTCCTGAAACCACAGCGACACTCATCCAAAAACCAATAAAGACCAAACTTGGCACAGAGAGCCCGCATGGCCAACTCAACATTCTGGCGAGGTTTGGGGGAGAACAGACTATGGATGATGGGACTTGCAGTACATTAACTCACTTTCTGAGACCACTGTGACCCTCATCCAATGACCGATCAAGACCAAACTTACCACACAGAGCCCCCATGACCCACTCTCCATCCTGGTGCAGTTTGGAGGAGGATGGACCACAGATGATGGGACTTGCAGTACCTTCATTAACTCTTCCTGAGACCACTGCGAGCCCATATAAATAACTGATACAGGCCAACCTTGATACACAATTCCTTTTTCAAATAACCCGGGCAGCGCTGGGTCCTCAAGCTAGTAAAATATACATATAAAAATGTTTTCCTATGAAATGCATTGATTAAAATACTCAGAAAAAAAGATGAATAGTAGTAATTTTAATAGCAATAATCTCTAAGATCTCCTCTTGTGACTGACTCCATGGGTTGCACTCCTGGAAAAACAGAACACCATCAGACTTTCTCTGCTCCTTCCATTTGATATGTATAATTGTTTACAATACACAAATCTGACCACACATCATAGGAGAGGAGCTGCCTCTTTTAAAAACTGTAATAAGTAATTGTTGTTCTCTTTTTTCCCAAGGGCACTCCTGATGTGAAATTATTCTCTAAGCCAGTGTCATTACGTCTGCTTAGTAAATACTTACTGCGGTCCTTTATTTGTTCGGTAAGTAACTTGCTGTTTCTGCTTAGATTGATATTATTTCCAAGAAGGGTTTCTGCTTGTTAAATAGCAGCATTTCATCATCTAAATATGGGACAAACTGTGCGTTTTTGTAAATGAAACATGGCATATGGTGATACCAAATAAGATGCTAAAGATGTCTTTTCATTTAAAATGCCAATAGCTTCAACTTGGTGTTTGTGGCTTTTGTCCCTGAATGGAAATAGCACTTCCACTGAAAGACATTTCCGTTGGGACAGAGAAGGAAAGGAAACATTTAATTAGAAAGATGATAAATAGGCACAGAGGGAGAAAACCCTCACTCCCTGATTCACATGTTTAAAAAGCAACAGCTTGTTGAATACAAAAATATATTTAGTATTCCCACATTTTAAAAGAAAAAACACAGTCTTGGAATAATAATAATAATAATAATAATAATAATAGCCCATTTTATTTCAGAGCATCATGTGTTATATCACTTTTTTTTTCCATTTCAAAAGGGTTGAAGCATTATAATTCTACAAAACTACCAGACATACCTGGTGTTGTCTGGATGTCATTGGGACTGCTACCTGCTTTCTCCATTCTCCAGCTCTGAGAAGGCCCCCCCTCACAATGTCTTCATGGGAATAGAGGGCAGGCTCCCTTTGTGGCTTTTCCTTTCCTTCCTCTCTTCTTTTCATACACATCTCACATTTCTTTCCCAGTGACACCTCAGAGGGCCACTTTGCCTACTTTCTCATTTCTCCAGCTCTGAGAAGGCCTCCCTCACAATGTCTTCATGGGAATAGTGGGCAGACTCTCTTCGTGGCTCTTCCTTTCCTTCCTCTCTTCCCTTCATACACACCTCATCTTTCTTTCCCAGTGACGCCTCAGAGGGCCACTTTGCCTACTTTCTCATTTTTCCAGCTCTGAGAAGGCCTACCTCACAATGTCTCCATGGCAATAGTTGAGAGGCTTTCTTTTCATTCCTCCCTCCCTTTCCAGTGAGAGCCACTTCACCTACTTTCTCTCTTCTCTGGCTCTGAAAAGGTCTTCCTCACAATGTTTTCATGGCTACACTCTGGTAATGGTGCTCAGGCTCTCCCCCCCCCCCCCCCTTCTGTTATCCCTTTTTTCTTCCCTTCCATTCTCTTCCATTCTTCCCTCCTCTCCCTTCATGCCTTTTCCCATTTCCTTTCCCTTCCTCCTTTCCTTTCCTTTGCTCTCCTCTCCCTTTTCTCCCTCCCCCCCCCCCCCCCCCCCCATATACAGCCCATCCTTTTCTTTCCCATGTCACTTTTCTTTCCCAGTAACATCACTGAGGGCCACTTCACCTAGCAATAGCCTTTGCAGTACCAATAGACAAACAGACATACTTTGACTTTTATAGCTATAGAACACATTTCTGAGCAATTTCCCGAGGTAGGTCAAATGCAGGAACATCTGGTTTTTGGGGGTTTTTTTGTTAGTTAGTTAGTTAGTTTTGCTTTTAACACTGCTTCTGTTGTAAACCAGGTCTGGAGAAGTTATAGGTAAACAGAAAATCATGTGCACATCCTGGATTTGGGGCTGTAAATTGCCATAAACGGTTTTTTTCCCCCCCCCCCCCCCCATGTCAAACCATCCTGCAAGACATCCTTTCCCGTATATTCAGTGTTTTTGTTGTGTGATTCATCCAGCAGAATGAATATTGATTTATGTTTTTATGTCAACAAGCATAATAATAATGATAATTTTTATTTATTTTCCCACCTTTGTTTTCAGCTCGATAATATTTTATTTTAAGAAAATTTGTCTGTTATCTTAGCTGTTAAATTAAAAAATGGGGGTGGCAATTTGAGACTCCATAAAGTCCATTGAAAGACCTCCCAGTGTGTGTGGGGTATGCATTGAATCACTGGGAAGAAAGCCTGGGGTCTGGCAGCTTTTGTCTCGAAACAAAACAAGGTTTGAGCCTTAATCCCTACTAGATAAGTTTAATCCCCTCATTCATGTTTCAAAAACTCAGAAGTCTTTGGGGTTTGTATAATGGAGATGCCTCTTGGCTTCCAGACCAAAAACAAGCGCTGCAGGCTCCTGCCGATGGTCATGGCCGCCCCGATGGACCTGGAGCAAGGGACGGTGATCATGGTGGGGATCCCGCCACACACGGAGAGCTCTGACAAAAAGAAGTAAGGCTTTTCGCGGATTCCTTTAGATAAGATACTGGGTAGGCTGGTCTGATATGAGTGCTTTTGCTGAGAGAGGATGCGCCTGCAGCCTTGTCTCTGCAGCTGGAATGAAATCAGCGAAGTCTGACACAGCTTTTGACTCAGGCAATTGGACAGATTTTTGAGTTTGAAAGACATGGGGATATATTGGGAGATGATTCATAAAATATGCAGCTGAAAACGTACCCCAATACTAAATGCTGTATAGGAAATTGGGAAGCATCCCTGAATAGCAATCTTGAACTTTTATACCCTGAAAAGCTCCATCAGTGCTTAAAGTTTGTTACGTTGTGCAAGTTTGCTCCAGATTCATCGTTGGTGGGGCTCAGTGTGCTCTCTGGCTGTGGGGTAAATTACATCTCTCACCATGGTGAGTCAGTCCCCTCAAGCACCTCCAGTAGGTTGAGTTAGTCATGGGGGTTCTGTGTACCAAGTTTGGTCCAGGTCCATCATTGGTGGAGGTCACAGTTTCTCTGGTGGGTGAACTACAACTCCTAGAAAGGAAGGTCAGTTTCCCCCAAACCCCTCCAGTTATCAAATTTTGGCATATCACGTATGCCAGGTTTGGTCCAGATCCATCAGTGTTTGGGTTCTCAGTGCTCTCTGGATGTAGGTGAACTACAACTCCCTCAAATCATGGTGAATTTTCCCCATGGACCTCCAGTATTTTTTGCTGGTCGTGGGGGCTCTGTGTGCCATGTTTGGTCCAATTCCATCTTGAATGGAGTTCAGACTGCTCATTGATTGCAGGTGAACTATACATCCCAATGCCCACAACTCCAAAATGTCCAGGCCAATTCCCCACAAAACCCACCAGTATTCAAATGTAGGCATATCGAGTCTGCATGCCAAGTTTGGTCCAAATCCATCATTGTTTGGGTTCATAGTGCACTCTCGATGTAGGTGAACTATAACTCCTCTAAATCCCTCCAAAGACCTCTAGCATTTTTTGTTGGTCATAGGGGCTCTGTGTGCCAAGTTACTTCCAGGTCCATCAATCTAAGTGCTCTTAGATTGCAGGTGAACTATACATCCCAGGACCTACATCTCCTATAAATCCTGGTGAATTCTCCCCAAACCTCTCAAGTATGTTCAGTTGCTGATCAATTCCTCTGTTTGCTGTGTGCCTTAGAAAAGAATAGGAAAGGGTTAAGGGAGAATTCCACACCAATGAAGAGAGTAAGGAACACTGGGATGTCTGTGGTGGAGGAAACACATGAAATCTAGGATGGAATTGTCCCCTTATGAAAGCCTTCACTTGGGTGGTGGGTAGTATGGTGTTTGGATAATAACCTTATCCAATTACTATTACCATCATCCTTGTGAGAGTGTGATTACATATCACTACCTCAGTTACCCCTTGGTTGTCGTTTGCTGCTAATTTGATCAAGAACGCAATAGCACTTTAAGGCGCCTGCCACTGCTGCTAAATTATACCAGCACTACGCCCCCATCCTTTTCCTCTATGCCGCACTTTAGTTAATTGAGAGAACCAGTTTGGGTATCTATTGCACTTAGATCTTGCACTTTATGTACTGCACCTTAGATCTTGCACTTTATGTATGTGCCCAACGGTACGCAGTATGTTGTTGATTGAGTGATATTACTGACTGGGTGGCATTTAAGTCTCTTGCACTTTACGAACTGTTTAACTGGTGTGGCTGAACGCCTAGCCCCACCTGAATCTATTGTTATCCATGTGGCTCCCCATCCCCCTATTTGTTCTGTCCCTGTTACTGCTGACTAGTGGAGGGGGCAGGGGAGGAGGAGGGCTGGAGCCTGTGAACAAGGATGGGGCGGGGGGGGGGAGGGGAGGCAAGGGAGATGGCAAAGGCCAACAATCCAAACTTCGAGCGATATTGGAAATAAGACCTTGGTGCTGGACTGCGGCATGGAGGAGGGGAGGTGTTCCACTAGCCGAGGGGCCCCCATAGAGGTCGTGGTGGGAAGGAGGAGATGCGGCAAAAGGAGACCCCAAATTCGGCTTAATTCGGACCGCTTACCCATATTAACAACCCCCAACCGGTCTCCTAAGGTAAATTGGTGTAACCAGGTGAGCGGGCCCTCTGGTTTGAAGGTGGTGTTGTTGAACGCCAGATCTGTCAACGGAAAAACGACCTGGATCCAGGATCTAATCCTGGAGGAGCGGGCAGATCTGGCGTGCATTACGGAGACCTGGCTGGATGAAGCTGGGGGCGTAAATCTTACCCAGCTTTGTCCTCCAGGCTTCTCCGTACAGCACCAACCGAGAGCCGGAGGACGGGGAGGCGGGGTCGCAGTGGTCTATAGAGATTCCATCCATCTGACCAGGAGCCCCATCCCGCAGACCACAAATTTTGAATGCGTCCACCTGAGGGTGGGTGACCGGGACAGAATAGGGATTCTGTTAGTGTACCGTCCACCTCGCTGCACTACGGTCTCCCTACCTGAGCTAGCGGGGGTGGTCTCGAGCCTGGCGTTGGAGTCTCAACGGCTTCTTGTGCTGGGAGACTTCAACATCCATGCCGAGGCGACCCTCACAGGAGCGCTCAGGACTTCATGTCTGCCATGGCAACCATGGGGCTGTCCCAACGAATAACTGGCCCTACCCACTGTGCTGGACATACATTGGACTTGGTTTTCTGCCAGGGATGGGAGCAGGGTGGCGGTGTGGAGGAGTTGTCCATCTCTCCGTTGCCATGGACCGACCACTTCCTGATCAGATTTAGGCTCACTGCGCCCCCTAACCTCTGCAAGGGTGGAGGACCCACTAAGATGGTCCGCCCCAGGAGACTGATGGATCCGAATGGATTCCTGACGGCTCTTGGGGATTTTCCTGCCACCTCGGTAGGTGACCATGTCGAGGCCTTGGTCGCTCTCTGGAATGGGGAGATGACCAGGGCAATTGACATGATCGCTCCGGAGCGTCCCCTCTCAAGTAGCCGAGCTAAACCAGCCCCTTGGTTTACCGAGGAGCTGGCAGTGATGAAGCGAAGGAAGAGGGAACTAGAGAGCGTGTGGCGTTCGGATCCAAGCGAGTCAAACCGAGCACGGTTTGTGTCCTTTCTTAGGGCATATGCCGCGGCAATAAAGGCCGCAAAGAAAGTTTTCTTTGCGGCCACTATTGCGTCTGCAAAGAACCGTCCGGCGGAGTTGTTTCGGATTGTTAGAGGTCTTTTAACTCCCGCCACCTCTGGCGGGAGCCCTGACAATTCGGTCACGCGCTGTGAAGCATTTGCTCGGTTCTTTGCAGACAAAGTCGCCTTGATCCGTTCTGGGCTGGACGCCGCGTTAAATGCAGTCTCAGAGGATGTAACAAGAGCACCTGCTTGTCCTATTTTGATGGATTCTTTTCAGTTTGTGAAACCCGAGGATGTGGACAAGATACTTGGAGGAATGAGGCCCACCACGTCCATCCTAGACCCCTGCCCATCCTGGCTTCTGAAGGAGGCCAGAGGGGGATTGGCTGAGTGGGTAACGGTGGTGGTTAATGCCTCCCTTAGGGAAGGCAAGATTCCAGCGTGCTTAAAACAAGCAGTTATAAAACCGCTGTTGAAGAAACCATCACTGGACCCCACTAAATTCGACAACTTTCGGCCTGTTTCCAATCTCCCCTTTTTGGGCAAAGTCATGGAAAGCGTGGTGGCCTCACAACTCCAGGTATTCTTGAGAGACACGGATATTCTGGATCCGGCACAGTCTGGCTTCAGACCGGGACATGGTACCGAGACGGTCTTGGTCGCCTTAGTGGATGATCTGCGCCGGGAGCTAGACAGGGGGAGTGTGTCCCTGTTGGTGCTCCTGGACCTCTCAGCGGCCTTCGATACTGTCGACCACAGTATCCTTCTGGGGCGCCTTGCGGAAATGGGCCTTGGGGGCACTGCTCTGCAGTGGCTCCACTCATTCCTGGAGGGACGCACCCAGAAGGTGTTATTGGGGGACTCCTGTTCTGCCCCACAACCTTTGACTTGTGGGGTTCCACAGGGTTCAATACTGTCTCCCATGTTGTTCAACATCTACATGAAGCCGCTGGGAGAGATCATCCGGAGTTTCGGGGTGCGGTGTCATCTGTACGCAGATGATGTCCAACTCTGTCACTCCTTCCACCTGCTACTAAGGAGGCTGTCGAGGTCCTGAACCGGTGCCTGGCCGCTGTGACGGTCTGGATGAGGGCGAACAAACTGAAACTAAATCCAGACAAGACAGAGGTACTCCTGGTCAGTCGCAAGGCCGAACGGGATATAGGGTTACAGCCTGTGCTGGATGGGGTCGCACTCCCCTTGAAGGCGCAGGTTCGCAGCTTGGGTGTGACCCTGGATTCATCGTTGAGCCTGGATCCCCAGGTTTCAGCGGTGACCAGGGGAGCATTTGCACAGCTTCGGCTCGTGCGCCAGCTGCGCCCGTATCTCGGGAAGTCTGACTTGGCCACGGTGGTACACGCTCTGGTCACATCCCGGCTTGACTACTGCAACGCTCTCTACGTGGGGCTGCCCTTGAAAACGGCCCGGAAGCTTCAGCTGGTTCAGCGTGCGGCAGCCATGTTACTAACTGGAGCGGATACAGGGAGCACACAACACCCTTGTTGTCCCAGCTCCACTGGCTGCCGATTTGCTACCGGGCCCAATTTAAGGTGCTGGTGTTGGCCTACAAAGCCCTGAACAGCTCCGGCCCAAAATACCTTTCAGACCGCATCTTGGCCTATGAGCCCACGAGGACCTTGAGATCGTCTGGGGAGGCCCTTCTCTCGATCCCGCCTGCCTCACAGGCACGCCTGGCGGGGACGAGAGAGAGGGCCTTCTCAGTGGTGGCCCCCTGGTTGTGGAACACTCTCCCTACAGACATCAGGCAGGCGCCCTCTCTTTTGTCCTTCCGAAAAAGCCTCAAGACGTGGCTGTTCGAGAGGGCATTTAATTAAGTGCTATAGTAATGTGGTAAAGACGACTGGAATGGTACAAGGAATACGAGATTGGTCACGATTCTATTACGAGACGAAGCGGATTAGTTAGTGTAATTTTAACTGTTGTATTGTTGTATGGTTAATATGCTGTTGTACTTGTCTTTGTGTGATTGCCTTTTGTACTGTACACCGCCGTGAGTCGCCCGAGTGGGCTGAGAATGGCGGTTAATAAATGCTCCAAATAAATAAATGTGGAGGACATTGGCAGGGTTCCTGGACATGTTCATGGTGCTCACTATAACCTGCAATGTCATTGGAGGGAGGGCCAGTGGCGTCTCCTGAGCAGTGGGAGCTATAGCTATTTGTGGAGGCACGAGGTCATCTATGTAAGTGGACACTCAGGTCACACACACATACATATTTTCACTTTTATTATGTGTATAGATTAGTAGCAATTCTATTTTAATATCTGTACCTTTTTAGGTTTTACATTGCTTTGGCTTTATTGTGAGCCAATTTAAGTCTCCTTTTTAGAGAAGAAAAGTGAGATACAAATAATAATAATAATAATAATAATAATAATAATAATAATAATAATAATGTAAAAATATCCAGAATATATATATTGATTAAACAAATTGGGAATAGAGTCAAGTGGACTTGAAGCAAAGAAACTGGAGTCCCAGTCCTAATTTTGATGTGAAACCTGCTGGGTCACTCTCTTAGTCACCACCTTGAGTCTATTTAAGAGAAAAAGGAGTATTTTAATAATAATAATAATAATAATAATAATAATAATAATAATAATAGTCTATCATGGGTATCGTGTCAGCTTTTCCAGTTGTTTCTCTTCGTGTCTAGGACTGTGTGATGTATTGGCAAATAATTTGTGCAGCTCTGAGTAGGGTGGCCTTTTGCAGCTGACAGATGGTAATTTTGTCAGCGCTGATTGTGTTTTAGTGCAGGCCAAGGTCATTAAGCTGACACAATACAAGGATTTAAAGATCAAATTGCAAAGATTCTGGCACTAGCCCGTAAAGGTGGTCCCAGTGGTGATTGGCACACTGGGTGCAGTGCCTAAAGACCTTGGCCTCCACTTAAACACAATTGGCGCTGACAAAATTACCATCTGTCAGCTACAAAAGACCACCCTACTTGGATCTGCACACATTTTCGCTGATACATCACACAGTCCTAGACACTTGGGAAGTGTCCAATGTGTGATCAAATACAACAGCCAGTATAATGCTCTTGTTTGCTGTGCGCTAATCTTGTTGTGTTTCAAATCATAGTAATAGTCTACAATGGATATCAAACTCATTTTCATGGAGGACCACATCAGCCTCTTGGTTGCCTTCAAAGGGCTGTTGAATCCATGGATGGTAAATCCATGGAGACAGCGAGAGGGCCAACTATATATATATATATATATATATATATATATATATATAACACATAATGGCCCATGCTCTTAAATGTTTACTCTGTTTGGGCACCCAGATGTTATTGAACAACAACTCCCATTGCTTTTGATTACCCTTCGTGTGGACTGGGTATGATGGGAACTACAACCCAGCAGCGCTTGTGGTTTTGAGGTTGGGGAAAGCTTAAAGGGCCTTTTAAAGCCAGGCCTCATACCCATTAGCCCTGTATCTAAATTCAAACCTCAGTGCAAACTGCAGCCTTCCAGATGTGACTATCCCAAATCCTACCAGCTCTAATGAAAAAGAATATAGGAGTTGTAGTCCAGCATCTGGAGGGCCACATAGGAATAGAAGGCCTCCTCTGCTCTCTAGTGAATTCTTATAAAATACTTGTTTGTATGTTTTCCCTCTAGCTTTTTTGGAAGAGCATTTGAAAAAGCTGCAGAGAATACAAATTCCCATACTTTGCACAACCACTTTGAAACGTCTAGTAAGTATGCTGCACTTTTCCTGTGTGTATTATATTATTTTATTTTATTTATTTACAGTATTCCGCCCTTCTCACCCCGCAGGGGACTCAGGGTGAATTACAATGCTCATCTACATGGCAAACATTCAATGCCACTTAGACATACAATATTTATAGACAGACACAGAGACAATTTAACATTCCAGCTTTTCCAGCTTCATGAGGGTATGCTCAATTCCAGCCGCAGGGGGAGCTGCTGCTTCACTGCCCACTTGTGACACCGAGTCCTTTGATGGAGTACTTCCTCATTCTTCTGCGTGCTGCTGGAAGGTTTTATGATATTGTAAATTAGTTAAATTAGCCTTCTTGTATAAAACAGTACCTAAATTTCCTACTTGACAGATGCAACTGTTTTGGGCTGCATAGGTCGACAGCAAGCTAGACTATTAATAGTCAGGAGCTTACTCCAACCCGGGCTGGCTTCGAACTCATGACCTCTTGGTCAATAGTGATTTAATCCAACTGGCTACTAGCTAGCTGTTCCACAACCCGGTCCTTATATGGCCCGGCGTGTTGTGTAGATGTGGCAAACTTGTGAATTGGACTGTGTTGTACCTCTGGCATTGACTCTTCATGGCAATTTCTTTTATCCCTTTAGTCATTGAATTGAAAATGGAAGACCGGAGCAAATTCCTGGATGCCCTTATCTCCCTTTTGTCCTGAAGGTGATGTGGTGCTGAAGATTTTTATTTGGAACCTTTTACGAAGCGGCTAGAATGGACTGTGCCTTGTGTGCTTGGGTTTCCCTATATTTAAGAAGTGTCCCCACCACCTTGTAGAGCTGTGAGACCTTTTCCTCTGTACCTTTTACCCTGTGCATATGAAACGTGTAAATGCTAACTGTTATTTTATGTCATGTTGTATAGATTTGATATACGCCTGTTTTTATAATGATGAGAGCTGCAGCTGATCAGCTGTAACTGAAAAGCGCTATCAAATAAATTTTTTTTACTCCATATCCACTTTCAAGAGAGTTCAATAATCCATCAAAACAAGGTAAGACCTACTAACCTCCTGGACTGGCAATTCTCTAATGGCAAGACCTTGCTTCAGAAAAGTGCCTTTGCTGGGAGCGGTGTTTCAAAAACCAGAAGTAAAGTTTGTTACTTCCAGTTTATGAGGAAAGTACATTTTTGGTGGTACTTACGCAGATGAGGTCCACTGTAAATTCTGGGACAATGAAAGTGACCTATGACCAGTAATGGTTTTGTGCCCCTATCAAAGGTACAGGTTTCCCCTTGACATTAAGCCATTAATGACTTGTAGTAGTAGTAGTAGTAGTAGTAGTAACAATAACAACAATAATAATACATTGACAAAGAAAAAACATGGATGTGGCTCACAAATGGAAAAAGGAGACGGAGGGCCTGATTCTGGCAGCCCAAGAACAAGCCATTAGAACAAATGCCATCAAAGCCAAAATTGAAAAGTTGACGACAGATCCCAAGTGTAGACTCTGCGAGGAAGCAGATGAAACAATAGATCACATCGTCAGCTGCTGCAAGAAGATCGCACAGACAGACTACAAGCAGAGGCGTAACATGGTTGCTCAGATGATTCATTGGAACTTGTGCCACAAATACCATCTGCCTGTGACAAAAAACTGATGGGATCTCAAGCCTGAAAAAGTTACAGAAAATAAACATGTCAAACTACTCTGGGACTTCCAAATTCAGACTGACAGAGTTTTGGAGCACAATACTCCTGACCTCACAATCGTGTTAAAAAACAAAGTATGGATAATCGATATTGCAATCCCAGGCGACAGCAGGATTGAAGAGAAACAACTGGAAAAGCTGGCACAATACGAGGGTTTAAAGATTGAACTGCAAAGATTCTGGCACAAGCCAGTAAAGGTGGTCCCAGTGGTGATCGGCACACTGGGTGCAGTGCCTAAAGACCTTGGCCTGCACTTAAACACAATCGGCGCTGACAAGATTACCATCTGCCAGCTGAAAAAGGCCACCCTACTGGGATTTACATGCATTATTTACTGATACATCAAATAGTCCTAGACACTTGGGAAGTGTCCAATGTGTGATCCAATACAACAGCCAGCAGAGTGACCTTGTTTGCTGTGTACTAATAATACACCCTTAAATTCCTCTCTATCTCTCCAAGAGGACTCAGAGCGGATTAAAGTAAAGGTTTTCCCTGTCATTAAGTCTAGTCGAGTCTGACTCTGGGGGGTAGTTCTCATCTCCATTTCTAAGCCAAAGAGCCAGTGTTGTCTGTAGATGCTTCCTAGGTCATGTGGCCGGCATGACTGCATGGAGCGCCGTTACCTTCCCGTCGAGGCACAACCTATTGATCTACTCACATTTGCATGTTTTCAAACTGCTAGGGCTAACAACGGGAGCTCACCCATCCCACGGATTTGAACCGCGACCTTCCGGTCAGCAAGTTCTACAGTTTGGCGGTTTAACCCACTGCGCCACCACAGCCCCTTGTGCACAGTGTAATCCATTTCAGTCCTTTATCAAATGCAGCTGCCCAATTGAGAAGGAGAGATCTGGAAATGGTGGGATTATTGCTTTGAATTTTTCAAAGGGAATAACATCTACAAGCAGCCCTTGGTATTCACTGGGGTTATGTGCAGAGATGTGAAGGCCGAGCGAAGGAAGATCGATGCTTTTGAACTGTGGTGTTGGAGGAAAGTTCTTAGAGTGCCTTGGATTGCGAGAAGATCCAACTAGTCCATCCTCCAGGAAATAAAGCCCGACTGCTCATTGGAGGGAAGGATACTAGAGACAAAGTTGAAGTACTTTGGCCACATCATGAGGAGACAGCAAAGCCTGGAGAAGACAATTATGCTGGGGAAAGTGGAAGGTAAAAGGAAGAGGGGCCGACCAAGGGCAAGATGGATGGATCCTTGAAGTGACTGGACTGACCTTGAAGGAGCTGGGGGTGGTGACGGCCGACAGGGAGCTCTGGCGTGGGCTGGTCCATGAGGTCACGAAGAGTCGGAGACAACTGAACGAATGAACAACAACATGTGCAGAGAACCCCTGTGGCAGTGAAAAGCTGAGAATGATTCCCATTTTTTAAAACATGACAGAGAACACTTTTCTGGAAATATCTAGGTCTTTCAGCAGGATTCCAGGGGCCACGGTAGCTCAGCGGGTTAAACTGCTAGCTGCAGAAAAACCTGCTGACCAGAAGGTTAGCAGTTCAAAGCCACAGGTCGGGGTGAGCTCCCGCTGTCAGTCCTAGCTTCTGCCAAGCTAGCAGTTCGAAAACATGTAGTGTGAGTAGATCAATAGGTACCGCCTCAGCAGGAAGGTAACGGTGCTCCATGCAGTCATGCTGGCCACATGACCTTGGAGGTGTCTACAGACAACGCCAGCTCTTCAACTTAGAATTGGAGATGAGCACCAACCCCCAGAGTAAAAGGCGCCCTGCAGCCATGCCAGCAAAGCATGACCAGGAGGGTCTACAGACAACAGACTCCTCGGCATGGAAAAGGACAAGAGCACCTCCCCATGGCCAATTGAACATTGCCTCCAGACGCCGGAGATGGAAAGGGAAACCTTTGCCTTTGTTTGTGTATTGTATGTCATTGTTCATCGTATAAAAGGCATTGAATGTTTGCTTTTGGGCCATCTGCAGCCCTGAGTGTGGGGCTTCCTCTGTGCTCTGTATGGCAATGGGAATGGTGGGCATGTGCTGACTCTGTGCGCCACTCGAATTGCCAGGCAGAAAAGGGATGCCCAAAAAGCCAGAATCCCCAGCCCCTCGTATACATCAAAGCAGAGCCTCGGAGCAGCTCTAGCAGAGGAAATGTTGGCAGGACTTGGGCACCAGGCATTTCTCCTGCTCTTTGTCCAGACCTGAGAGGAAAGGATCAACACAGAGGCTGGGCCTTGCTTGGGTGTAGGTGCTGTGTTGTTCCCAAGGACCTGCTCCTCCTGGCTGCCATTGTGGGCTACTTTACTTTCTTTGAGGGGCTGCATAGGACCCGCGGGCAATACGTTGTGCAGGTCTGACCTAGAGATTCCCAGAGAGGTGATTTCTCTAGAAATGTTGGAGTTCTTCCGGCATAACAGGCCTAAGAGAGAACTTTTAAAATCAAATCTGCCAAAATTGAAACCATAAATTAAAGGGGCTGTGGTTAGCAAAGCAGGTTAAGTCACCAGCTACAGAAAATCTTGCCGACTGGAAGGTTGGCAGTTCAAGCTGTGGGTCAGGGTGAGTTCCTACCGTCAGCCCTAGCTTCTGTTTACCTAGCAGTTCGGAACAGCAATGTGAATAGATCAATAGGTAGCATTTTGGTGGGGAGGTAAAAGGCGCCCCTGAAGAAATAATGCAGGTGATTCAATCAGGAAGACGGCCAGTGCTCCTCAGTTTGGAAAAATGGAACATCAGCACCTCCTCATGGCCAAGTCAAGATGCCAAAGATGAAAAAAAGGGAAGCCTTGTCTATCTACTGTTTGTCCATGTTAATTGTATAACAGCATGGAATGTTTGCTATGTATGTGTTTTGTAATCCGCTCTGAGTCCCCTCGGGAAGATATAGTGGAATATAAATAAAGTATATTTATTATTATTATTATTATTATTATTATTATTATTATTATTTCCTTTTTAAAAACCCTAAAGGCAATAGATTACATAGCTAAACAACAACAAAACATTCTTGGTCTCTTGGTTTTTCAGCCTGTTCCTGGGTTATTTGAAGCATTGATTGGATCGACCGCACCAGCTTTAGTTTCTTAGATAGGGTTATTGTTGCTTTCTTTGAGTGAGCAGATGGCAACTTAGATGGTATATCACAGAATGCCATCTACCAGTCGTCATCTGCTCAAAAACTAGAGCTGATAGGAGAAAATTGGTGCCACTTTTGGAATCAGCACAACAGATAGACCCAGAGAGAAGGCTAACATTGGAGGTATCAAAATGTGTGTTGGCCAGTGCTACCATCCTTTTGATTTATCCCTTCCTTGCTTAAGTAGAACTTAAGGGATGAAGGTAAGAAAGGGGGATCTCAATGCCCTCTTGTGGCTTTCTAAAAAATTGTCATTCCATGGGGCTGGCGCAAAACCCATGGAAAGGCCAAACTCCTTTGTGGGAAGCTTCGCGTGCTTTCCTAGCAGTAAGGTTCATGGGGAGAGTTTTGGCTGTGGCTGGGATTTTAAAAATAAACGCGTTACGGCCAGGAACAAAGCGGCTTAAGGCCCTCTTAGGTCTCCGCATTCCATGCTGCGGCTTCTGAAGGCAATGAAAAATTCCCCACGGATTAGGCTTTGGGGCGGCAAGATATTTTTACCCTAATATTTGTTTACGGCAAGAACTCCCGGTGAGAAGCCAGGCTTCCTTATTTCCCGGATTTCAAATCAAGGCCGGAGGGGAAGGGGCCGAGAGCAAAGGAATTGGCCTAAACAGCACACATCATAAAATAAAACTTTTCAAGGCTCGCAGTGAGATGGAATGGAACATGTATTTTGGTGACGAGAAGGCAACAGGCTGGCAAAACTACAACTCCTGGGAGGAAGACATTTTTTAAAAAAAATGGTTCCCTTTCAGTTGTCATGTGTGTTTCCCATGCCACTCTAACTAATGTTTCTCCCCACCCCTTTCAGAAGTCTAGCCATTCTTATCAGAGGCTGCATGGGCTATGAACAAAGGATTTCTGGCTTCTAATCTCTACTGTAGTCTGGTCAGTGTGTATAAACATACACACTGTTTATACACACTAATCATAGTGGTACTGTTGATAAATTGGTTTTGAAAGATTATGCAAACTGGCCAGCTTCAATCTCGAGTGACTTGCATAGAATCAGACTACATTAATGAGGTGCCATTTGATAGGATTAAAAAAGGATGCTATATAAGACAAGCATGGTATGGTCCTCATGACGTGTCTGGACTGCAACTCCCAGCATCCCTAACCAACATAGTCCAGTGTGGATGTTGCCGGGAGGTGTCTTTTCACACCTGGAGGGTCACATCATGCACA